CTCATCACCTGCCCCCACCCACCCCACACTGCCACATCAATTCTCAAGGATAATGTGAAATCACAGCTCTGCGCCTACCGTATAAAGCAGGTATGAGGTGGGTGGAGACAGGATTTGGAGTTAAACATCTATAAGGTCCCCCTTCAGGCTTAATTTCCCTTTTCAATCAACCACAGGTTACCTTATGGGCTCTTATTGTCCGTTACTGAAGAAAATAATATCACAATTAATGAGCAACTACGGTGTACTAGGTACCTTTCCATATTATTTTTTGTCTTTAAACAACTTCATGAAGGAAGTAGGATTAGCTTATTTGAGAGAGTTTCAGTATTTTGCCCAAGATAGGTCAGAGTTTGGTTTATTTGCCTAGAAGGCTTCACTTTGGAATGTTCAAACTGTGATTTCATACAATATTACAAAGCTACAGCAATCAAAACAGTATGGTATTGGATTAAAAACAGACACATCAATCAGTGGAACAGAGTAGAGGGCTCAGAAATAAACCAATGCATATATGGTCAATTAATTTACAACATAGGAGCCAAGAATATACAATGGGGAAAGGACAATATTTTCAATAAATGGTGTTGAGAAAACCGAACAGCCACATGTAAAAGAAGGAAACTGACTACCATCTTACACCATACACAATAATTAACTCAAAATGAATTAAGGACTTGAACATAAAATCTGAAGTCATAAACTCCTAAAAGAAAACATAGGCAGTAAAGTCTTTGATATAGGTTTGGCAATGATTTTTTGAGTCTTCATGCCTAAAGCAATGGCAACAAAAGCAAAAATAAGTGGGCCTACATTAAACTAAAAAGCTTCTGCACAGGGGTACCTAGGTGGTTCAGTTGATTATCTGGTCCTTGATTTCAGCTCAGGTCATGGTCTCAGGGTCTTGGGATTGAGCCCCATGTTGGGCTGTGTTGAGCATGGAGCCTACTTGGGATTCTCTCTTTCTCTCTCTCCCTCCACCCTCCCCAGCTTGTGCATGCACAGGGACACACACTCTTTCTCTCTTTCAAAAACAAACAAGTAAACAAACAAATAAGCTTCTGCACAGCAAAGGAAGCCACCAACAAAACAAAAAGTCAAGCTATAGAAAGACAGAAAATATTTGCAAATCATTTATTTGATAAGGGGTTAATATCCAAAATATATAAAGAATTCAACCATTCAATAGCCAAAAAAAAAAAAAAATTAAAAAACGGGCAGAGGATCTGAAAAGATATTTTCCAAAGATACATAGATGGCTAACAAGACACATGAAAAGATGCTCAACATCACTAATAATTAGGGAAACAAAAATCAAAACCATAATGAGATATCACCTTACGCATTAGAACGGCTGTTATCAAAAAGACAAAAACAAGTATTGATAAGGATATGGAGAAAAGGAGACCCATTTGTGTTGTTGGTGGAAATGTAAATTGGAAAACAGTATGGAGGTTCTTCAAAAAATTAAAAATAGAACTACCTTTTGATTCAGTAACTTAACTTCTGGATATCTATCCAAAAGGGAAAAATAGCCTCTAGTGACTCAAAAAAGATATATACATGTTCATTGCAGTATCACACACAAAAGCCAAGATATGGAAACCACTTAAGTGCCCACTGATAGATGAATGGATAAAGAAAATGTGGTATAGATATATAATGGACTATTATTCAGCTACAAAAAAAGCAATCTTGCCATTTGCCACAACATGGGTGGACCTTTAGGGTATCATGCTAAGTGAAGCCAGACAGAGGACAAATACCATATTATCTTATTTATATGTGGAATCTCTTAAAAAAACCAAAACAAACAAAAAAACCCCAAAAAACTCACAGGAACAAAAGAACAACAACAACAAAAAACCCCCATGCTCATAGATTTGGAGAACAGATTCATGGTAGCCGGAGGTGGGAGATAGGATTGGGAGAAATCGGTGAAGGAGGTCCAAAGACGCAAACTTCCACTTATAAGCTGTGATGGCTCTTCAAAATAGTTTACAGATCTAAGAAAGGTATAGTTAAAATATGTACTAGTTGTGTAATTTTGTCTCTTCCATTAAATTCCTTGGGAGTGGGAATTCTTAGATCTCCATTACCTCATACATGTGTTTGACATTTGTAGCTGCTCAATAAATATTAGTTGAATTAAACGAAATACTAACTATTTCTTTCATATAATGCTAACTTGTTTCTTGAACCAAATTGGGTAGGTTAATAATATAAGACGTTTGCAAACATTTGATGTGTTTTACAGGTTGTATGTTCCTTCCCTGTATTTCTTTAAGGATGTAATCTACTATGTAGGTCAAAAAGAACAAAAATATAATTGAAGCCTACATGGTGGAGTGAAAAATCCTGTAATTAAAAATTCAGAGCGGGGCACCTGGGTGGCTCAGTGGGTTAAACCTCTACCTTCAGCTCAGGTCATGATCTCAGCATCCTGAGATCGAGCCCTGCATCGGGCTCTCTGCTCAGCAGGGAGCCTGCACCCCCCCGCACCTGCCTCTCTGTCTACTTGTGGTCTCTCTCTGTCCAATAAATAAATCTTTAAAAAAAAAGAAAATTTAGAGCATCAGGGTGGCTCAGTCAGTTGGGTGTCCGACTCTTGATCTCAGGGTTGTGAATTCAAGCCCTGTGTTAGGCTCCACACTGGGCATGGAGCCTATTTAAAAAAAAAAAAAAAATCAGAGCATCAAGCAAAATTTGGTAAAGGAAGATCCTTTTATCCCTCTCCCTAGAAAGGTCCTACCCTCCCCATGCCATTGTTCACCAATATCATGCTACATCAGTAATAACAGCATCTGTGGTAGTTTAAAGTGATCAAGGACAGGAAACTCTGGCTTCAGTTCAGCACTTATTTCAGAATCTACTAAGTGCCAGATACTAGGAATACAAAGACGACAAGTTCTTATCCTTCGGGAGCATGGAGTCTGACTGAATTTCTTATAGAAGTGCATTTCTTGCCTTGGAGGGAGTTTGGCTGTGTACAAGGAGTGAATTCTCTCATAAAGGATCAGCCCCCATGTATGTTGCAGGCACCAGTTTAATTTTGGGTCTTTTGTGAAATCAGATTGCTCCAAAGTGCCACATGATTTTTAGATGACTGAAGTATCATATCTGAATTCCCTTACCATTCCAAGAATACTCACAGAGATAACCTGAAGGTATGTTCTCCAGTAGCTCGGGGCTCCTGAATGTTGGCAACCTATATAGATAAAGGAGTAGTTTTAAGGGGCTAAGAAGGCCTCGCTCCTTCAACACCCAACTAGATATCTCTCAGCCGGCTACGGTTTTTTTTTTAATTTTATTTATTTATTTGACAGAGATCACAAGTAGGCAGAAAGGCAGGCAGAGAGAGGAAGGGAAGCAGGCTCCTCGCCAAGTAGAGAGCCCGATGCGGGGCTCGATTCCAGGACCCTGGGACCACGACCTGAGCTGAAAACAGAGGCCTTAACCCACTGAGCCACCCAGGCGCCCCTGGCTACAGGTTTTTAGCTTCATTGTTATACCTCTGGTCCAAGCCTGCAGCTTGCTGAAGAGCATCATGCTAATAGGAGGAGACAAGTGCTCAAGCAGTTGAAAGACAGAGAAATGTGGGTGATTTGGCAACTTGGGGCAGACCATTCTTAGAAAGACAGATCTTCCTGAGATTCAAGGATGCAAATTCCTTTAGCCTACCAGGAATTTACTAAGGTTCTCATATATAGATGATCTTGATGCCGCCAGATGAAATCAATCTTAGACTTCCTCTGTCATTATGTAAATGGAATAGGTAATCAAGCATGACTAACAATAACCAACTCTCAGTAACAAGATGATACATTATTTTAATTGTATGATTTATCAAAACAACAACTATTAACATACAAAGTACCATTCAGCTCAACTGCAGGTAAAGGCAGTGACAAGTATCTAATGCTTAGAAGAACCACTTACTCTCACAATCTGTCCAGATGCATTAACCTAAGGACATGTTTATAAATAGCAAACATGATTTTCACATTGCAGCTTTCTCAAGCATATGTACAGGTGTGTCGTCTTGTTGATGGGTTGTTTCCACAAGCTTTCTGTTTTTGATGCATCACCCTCTGGATATTAGTAGAGCTATTTGTTTCTGCAGAGTTTTTTGTTACCCGCCATTTGTAATATTTGTGCATTAGTATCACACTTTACTCTTCTGAAACAATATTTAAATTAGATATATCTCAACCGTACAATTCCTTATGTCTTCTGATAAAATCCACCTCTGTCAAGGAGTTTGGGTTGTAATCTTTCTCTTGCAACATCAGCTCAGCTCTACTATTAGGCTTCAGTGTAACACACCCTCTTTAGAGCCTGCTGTGTTAACCCTTGGCTTCAAGTCCTGGTGATGTAATGAGGGTGGGGTGTACTGGCAATCAGCACATTTCCTTATCACAATTTACAGCCATTGAGAACTATGCTTTTAGTAATCCAAGCCTGACATACCTTTTCTGAAATGTTCACAGTGCAGTATATTTGTGACCTAACAAAAGTTTTCTTATATCATTAAAAATAAACATTTTTATAAAAATATAATACTTTAAAAGTCTACATTGACAAAAACAGAGTATCCTGTGCCACATGCACTATACAGTAGTAAGCACAAAATCCCACAGAACAAAACATTACAAAAGTCCTGCCCAGAATAACTGTTCATCCAGGTGAAATGGCCAGAACTCTCAGTTGCTTTTATTTCCCCGTAAAATATGTTTTGCTTCACACAAAGCATGTCCTAATGAAAACTGGACTCCCAGAAAGTTTTATTACCTCCAATTGTTTGTGAGGTGGGGAGCTGCCACCTGAGAAAGAGGCTAGTATTTCCAGTTCATTGATCCTTTCTCTGCCCTACATGAGCCATGATAGGAAACAATGAACCTTTTAGTCAGATGTATTCTGCTTTAACAACATGCTGAGTTACCTTTAAAAACACCTATCACAAATCACTTGTTTTCTTTTCAGAAAAGAAAATTCTTTTCAGAGTCGTCATAAAAAAATAGACAAACGATCTAAATGTCCACAATCATCAGAACAGTATCATTCTCAGTTGATTTCTAAATGACAACTAAGTTTTTCATTGTGACTAAGCTATTTTATGAGAACCTTCTTAATGTCATCTATATACAATATGTAAATGTCCCTATTAATTTATAAACACATTTCATATCCTGCCATTTTGAAATGTTCACTGTGTTGTCTTTGGATATTTCTCCATTAAAAGGAATGTGATACAAAAATTTAAAAGGGAATGTTTGCCTAATGGGCAAATGACAACATCAGTAATAAAAAAATACTAGTGACCATACAACACATGAAAGTTCTTTGAAACACTTAAATTGCAAATGAATGGCTTGGTACTGGGGCCACATCTGTCCCGGACTTTACCATTTCTTCTGAATTTTCTGTGACCAAGAAGCCGTCAAAATTCATTGCCTCTGTTCCTCATGTGAAATCATGTAGGATCCTGATTTTTAAAAATTTCGACCTGGAATTCAGGTTTTGGCCTGAAAGCACAGGAGCATCATCACAGCTGTGGGGTTTCTGTTGGTCACTGGCCCATGGGACAAAGCTTCTGGCTCTGATGCTCCGTCAGCTGAGAAATTCGTTAGAATCCAGTCATTTTAAATAGCAATATAAAGTCCTATAATAGTGCAATCTTGGCAAAAGCAAAAATATCTGGTGCCCTTTCAATGGCCAGGCAGTGAAAAAAAAAAAAAATTGAACAAAGTGTAGACTACCGTTTGGCAAGTTCTGTGACGCTTCTCAGAAGGGGGCTTGTGAGGTATCCATCTGTCATGTGTCCCCCTCGCCATCAATGTTATCTTGTGAAGACAACAGGGAAGGGTATGGAGCAACACATTTGACATTCACATAGGTAGCGTTCACATGGACGTAGTGCTCCCCAATGAAAGTAGAGAATATTGCTGATATCCTGGAGACCAGTTCAGAAAAAGATGGGCGCAGCTCAGCTTTAGGGTGCCAGCATTTGAGCATCACTTCATATCTATTTCAAAAAGGAAGAAATGCTATGAGAGACATTGTAAAGGCAAGCATTTTGGTAAAAGTCAAGAACACAGGAATGACAGAAGATTCTTTCGAAATTCCTACTTACAAGGGATCTGGGCAGTATTCGGGTTGTAGGAGCCTTCTGCCTTGCAACAAGTAAACTGTTATATCAAAGGTATTGACATCAGGATAAGGTGGTGCTCCTCTTGTCATCAGTTCCCAGAGAAGCACGCCAAAGGACCACTAGTCAAACAATGGAAGGGAGAATCCAGGTGAGGACCGTGACCGTATGAACGTGAAAGGTATCAGTAAGTCTTGATAACTAAATTTGGCTTAGTATATTCAATACTATTGCTTGGTGGTGCAAAAATTTCCTTAAAGGCACTTAGTAAGCTGTACATTTTATGATTACACCAGAATTAGATAAGTTTTAGATTATAAATAAATGCAAAGTTTTAAAAAAGAATATCTGAAGTCCACATGATGACTAAGATTTCATCTGTAGTTAGTACAGTACAGTTTCCAGGTTCTTATAGGGTCAAAGCATTACCATGTTTCTATCCTTCTCCTTTCCAACAGTTTCACTACAAATTTACATTACTCATAAAAGAAGAAGATGAAGAAAGCTTTCCAAGATTTAAATTTGTTAAGGTTCTGAATGAATGTGAATACTCTTTTAAGAAATGTGACCATAAACAAAAAACCCAAGAAACAAAAAAGAGATGTAACCACATCTAACTGTTGATGTTAAAAGGCAAACTCTAGGGCACCTGGGTGGCTCGGTGGGTTAAGCCGCTGCCTTCGGCTCAGGTCATGATCTCAGGGTCCTGGGATGGAGTCCCGCATCGGGCTCTCTGCTCGGCAGGGAGCCTGCTTCCCTCTCTCTCTCTCTCTGTCTCTGCCTGCCTGTCTACTTGTGATCTCTCTCTGTCAAATAAATAAATAAAAAATATTAAAAAAAAAAAAGGCAAACTCTAAGTTAGTGTAAGTAGAAATTCGTATTAAAAATCAGAAGTGATAAAATTGCTAGGCAAGAATGTTCTCTATAGAACTATATAAAACTAATTTCAATAAAATAAATGTAATTTAAAAATGTTAAAATACAAGATTGATATAAAACAGCTGTATTAGTACTTGGTAGGAATATTGTAGGGAGATAGAGAGGTTACGTGACCTGTTAGAAATTCCCCCAATAAATGTGAATTCATACAGGGATAAACACTTACGAGTTCCTAACTCTTGGGTCTTACTTGGTCTACTAAACTACACTAAGTATGCAATTTCTTGATTTAAAGCTACTCAGAATACACTAGTTCATGCATATTATCTCCTGGATATGTGCCAAGGTGAGATGACACAAAGAGAGTACTTTGACATGTGTGGGTCACCGCTGGCCAAAGACCCTGGAAATCAGCTCTTCCTTAGCAACGTGTCTAGGCCACTCACAGACTAAGAATCATATGGGGGTTGAAATGAGGCCCTGAGAAAAAGGAGGTTTGGAGGGAAAGGAGAACACAGACCAGATAGGCAGAGCAGGAAAATAGAACATTGAAAGGCAAGTGCAGCTTCTAGCATTCAGCCAGGAGAATAAAGCATGTCTATCTGAACAATACCACGGTCTGAAAGAAACTAGGTAGATATTGTAGTTGCTGATATAAATCTCCATTAATGGTGATTTTGTTTGCCCATGTGCAAGAACTCTTTAAGGCCACTGACTGCCTTGATCTAAATAGAGAAAATACTCTTTCCTGGGTGGGAACTAGATAACTTTGCTGTCCCCTGAAGCCTCTCAATATCTAAGTTTCCAAAGACTGAAAATCTTTATGAGTCACTTCTGACAACTTCACTGTGTTAACTTTTAAGTTCCAGAATTTGCATTAAAATTTAAATCAGTTTAACAGGTATCTACTGATAGTTGGTGCACAGGTAGGTTACTGTCCAAGTTACTGGATGGGCCTAAGGTTGATTTAACAGGGTTAAATCACTGTCACATAGAACCAACTGTCATATAGAACAGTAAGACAGAATAACTAACACAGAGCAATAATAGAAAAGAGGTACAAATGCTGTGAAAAGTCGGAGATAATAGTGGGGTCCTAAGAAAGGCTTCAGAAAAAAGGCGACAATAAAGCAGATTTGGAAGAATGGGGAGCATTTGTTTTCCAAGTACACAGAATGTGAGTGTTCTGGATGGAGCGAATGGGCCCAGTGGTGAGAGAACAATAGGTCACTCTGCTTGATGTGTGGAGCAGATGAGGTGGACCAGGGATGGATAAGGTTGAAACGGACCATGTTGTGGGGCTTTCTGAGTGCTGAAAGTGGGTTAAGATGAAATGGATGAGGCGTGCAGTTGAGCTCCACATGACCTACCTGTAAATACTACACTTTAGACAAATAGGAGAAGCCCATTTACATTAGAAGACTGCTGGAGGGAGTCTTCTGAACAAGAATAGGTGAGGGGTGCTACTGCATCTTGGCAACACGGAGTCCAATGAAACTGAACTACCAAATTAGGGTATATAAGCCAGGAACAGCCGTCATGTCCTTTAAGAAAAGATTATTTTATTTAATCCTTATAACAACCCTGTAATGTAATTGGTTTTGTAGATGCTTTAAGGATGAGGAAACCATAGTTTTGAGAGGCTGATTACTTGTCTGTGATTAGGTCTCCTAACCCATAGCCTAGGATGTAGGTGGGTCTAGTGGCAAATTCACAAAAACGGGGGCAGAGCTGGGTAAATTTCTGAGGAATTACAGGATTGGGCACTGGCTGGAAATCAGAGGAGGGTTGGAAGAGTCAGGGGACAGGAGTGGTGAAAGAGAGAGGCAGCTGGCAGGGAAAGCACAGTACTGCCTACAATAGCTTGGGACTGACAAGGTGGACTGACAAGGTGAAAGAGAGGCAGCTTGCAGGGAAAGCACAGTACTGCCTACAATAGCTTGGGACTGACAAGGTGGACTGACAAGGTGAAAGAGAGGCAGCTGGCAGGGAAAGCACAGTACTGCCTACAATAACTTGGGACTGACTGACAAGGCAGTGAAGGAAGAGAATGAGGCTGACCTAGAAGCTGGGGGTGAGGAAGGGAGAGAAAGAAGGAGAAACAAAGAAGAGGAAAGGGAGAAGGGGAGGGAGAAAGAGAGGGAGAGTTAAGTGCACTGTGCATTAGGAATGATGGAAAGAAGTCAGTTTTAGTTTCTAGACAGGAGAGCTCTGCCATTCATGTTTACTGTGTGGATGGTCTGGCCCTTCTGAATATCTGAGCACCGGCAGTGGGCTCGTCTGAAGAATCTCTGCTTAACTTTATCAAAGGTGAAGATCAAAGAAGTTATTAGACATGAGAGACAATTAAAGCCATAAAAAGTGATGGAAAGTGACACAGCTAAGTATGCAAGGAATGGAGACAGCCAGCTTTGAGGACTCAAGATTGGGTAAACTGAGATATAACACATTTTGTAAAAAACCCACAACTGATTAAAAAATGGATAAATTCATAAAATTTTATCAACTGGTAAACTGATAACATTTTCAATAAAATTTAAAACTTCTGCTCTTTTAAGATACCAGTAAAAAAAATGAAAAGGCAAGGCACAGACTAGAAAAATATATTTGCAAAACCATGTATCTGATAACAAGTGCCTGTAATCCAAAATATATAAGGAACTCTTAACAACTCAATAATAAAGAAATAAACTGGAAAAAAAAATCTAATACTTAAAAAAAATGGGGAAAGGACTTGAGCACACACTTCACTAAAGGAGACAGAAGGATGGTAAATTAGCACAAGAAAAGATGCTTAATGTTATTAGTCATTTGGGAAATATGAATTGAAAAGAAAATGAGACACCACTACAGCCTACTAGAATGGCTAAAACTCCCAAACTGACAATGCCAAGTGTGGATGAGGATGCTGAACAACTACAACTCTTACATATTACTGTTAGGAATATAAAATGATATAGGTACTGTGGAAAACAGTAGACAGTTTCTCATAAAGTTAAATACACACTTATCTTACAACCCGGTAATCCTAGTTTACCCAAAAGAAATAAACCTTCACACACAAAACCTTTAAGCACATGTTTAGCAATAGTAACTATGTATAAGAATTGCTTAAAACTGGAAAGAACGCAAATGTCCTTCAAACTGGTGAAGGGATAAACAAAATATGGAATATCTGTACAATGGAATACCACTCAGAAGTAAAAAGGAATGACTTACTCTGTTGTGAAAAACAGTATGGAGATTCCCCAAAAAATTAAAAATAGAAATGACTGAAAAAAACACTACCATATGATCCAGCAATCCTACTTCTGGGTACATATTCAAAGGAAATGAAATCAGCATCTTGAGATATTTTCACACGCATGTTCATAGCTACATTATTCACCATAGCCCAGAGATGGAGGCAACCCTAATGCCTATCAACAGATGAATAAAGAATATGTGGTATATACATATAATCTAATATTCTTTAGCTTAAAAAAAATCCTGTCAGATGCTACATCAGTGGATCTTGAGGACATTATGCTAAATGAAATAAACCAGTCTCAAAAAGACAAATACCACATGACTCCACTTGTATGAGGTATCTAAAGTAGTCAAGCTCTTAGAAATACATAGGCTGTCAGGAGGGGGGAAAGGGGAGTTATTCAATGGGTATAGAGTTTCAGTTTTGCAAGATGAAGAAGTTGTACAGATCGGTTGTACAACAACATGTATGTAGTTAACACTACAGCACCATACACTTAAAAATAGTTGAGATGGTCAATTTCCTCTTCTGTGTTCTTTGACACAATTAAAAAAGGAGAACATCTAGACACACTGATACTACTGATACAACATGGATAACTCACATGCATTATGCTAAGTGAAAGGAGACAGACTCAAAGGCTATTTACTATATGACTCCATTTATAGGACACCTAGGAAAGGTAAAACTGTAGAGACACGAAACAGACCAGTGCTTTCTAGGCCCTAGGGATAGGCTAGGGGTTGACTACAAAGGGCACTGATGGAACTGTTCTATATCTTAGCTGTGGTGGTGATGTTCACACAACTGTAGGCATTCTTCAGAACTTGATGGACTATATATTAAAAAGTAGAGTTGGTACATTGCATAATGAGGATGCCATTAATAGAAATAAAGAAGTGAAGAACAGACAGTTGGCAGGAAAGAACTGGACTTTGAACATGGTAACTTTGTGATGCTGATGAAAACAATCCAGGAAGAGAGATTCAAAGGCAATTATAGACTGGTTGAAATTGTTGAGGGAGGTTGATAAATAAAGACCTCTCTCCACCCAAGAAAATTCCCGAGTGACAACTGCATGTAGGATGTGAGAGAAGGAAGAGAAACCATCAAATCTGAAGAAAACATAACCCAGAAGCAAGAGAGAAACTAGATAGTATAGTGTCCCAGAAACCAGAGGAGGAGGACACTTTGGGAAGGAAGAGTTTGACAGTGTTAAGTGCTGATGCAGGGTGAAAGAACTTGCTGATTGAACAGCTGAGAAGTCAACACTGACGTTGATGGCTGCACACTGTACAAGAGTAGGTATGAGAAACTGCGGAGTGACACTTCTACCTGGTTTGAATGGGCTTCAAGAGAATTTCAGATTTTGGCTGAACTCCATTTGGGCATTTGTGAGAAAGTGGACCTTTCCATAAGCAGGCAAGTTTTTGCTTATAGGTAGCTCTCTACATACAAGCTTATCACATGCTTTTGGAAATGTTCCGTGTCAACATTCAAAAGATTGTGCTATCTTGGAAATTAAAGCTAATGCAAATTTATCCATGCAGTCAATAACCATTTGCCAAAGCAGTACTGCACATGGATTACTCTTGTTCCCCCTTTATGTAGTACAATACAACATCTTTCAATGAGAGGGAAAGAGACATAGCACTTTGTATCTATAGAAGCCTCCATAAATTTCCAGTCAGGTATCAGAGTGAAAGTTGCTATCTGAGAAGTGCTGGCCTCTGTGTTGTGTGTACGTGTGTGGAGGTAGTAATGTGTGTGTGGGTTTGTCTAAAAGCTCAGAATCGCAACTCTTGACTTAAACATTTAAGATTTCATCAGATTCTTTTTTTGTTTTGTCTTAAAAGTTTTGCTGAGATGTAATTTATGTATTATAAAACTTGCCATTTTTTAGTGTGGGTCAATGATGTTTAGTGTACTTATTTGTGCAGCAATTGTCACAATTCAGTTTTTTAAAAATATTTTTTAAAAGATTTTATTTATTTATTTGACAGAGAGATAGAGAACAAGCAGGGGTAGCAGTAGGCAGAGAGAGAAGCAGGCTTCCCGCTGAGCAGGGAGCTCGATGAGAGACTTGATCCCAGGACCCTGGGATCATGACCTGAGCTGAAGGCAGCCGCTTAACTGACAGAACCACCCAGGCGCCCTAAAAGATTTATTTATTTTAGAGAGAGACAGAGGGAAAGAACTTCAAGCAGGTTCCCTGCTGAGCATGGAGCCTGAGGCCAGGCTGGATCTCATGACCCTGAGATCATTACCTGAGCCAAAAATCAAGAGTTGGCTGCTTACCCGACTCAGTCACCAAGACAGCCCCACGATTCAGTTTTTAGATCAATTCCAATATCCCAGAAAGTTCCCCATGTGTGTTTGTATATAATCTTTGCTCTTGCCCTCAGTCCCAGGCAACCCTTGATTTATATTTTTTGTCTCTCTAGCTTTGCCTCTTTCTAGAAATTTCATATAAATTGAATCATTCAATATACAATCTTTTGAGTCTGTCTTCTTTTGCTGGACCTAATAGCTTTGAGGTTTATCCATGTTGTAGCAGGCATTAGCAAGCAGTTCCCTTATAGTGCTGAATGGTATATTCCATTGTATAGAAATGACATGTTTTACTTATCCATTCACCGGCTGATGGACATTAGGATTGCTCCTGTTTTTTTTTTTCTTATTATGAATACCACTACTATGAACATTCATGTTCAAGTCTTTGTGTGGGCACATGTTTCCATGTGCTTATTGCTAGCTATTCATATATCTCTTTGATAAAAGGTCTATTCAAATCTTTTGTCTACTTAAAAAATTTGAGTTATTTTGTCTTATTGAGTTGTAAGGGTCAGTCTGGTTCTTAATGGCAGACAAACAGTCCGGATAGAATGCATACTCTTTGAGGACAGGTTAATTCTCCCTACCTTATACCTTCACCTGCCACCATCACTAACATGTTCTGAGCCTACCTCTTTAGCACTCATTTCTTTGATCTCTTTCAGAATCTTTCAGGATCAAAATCCCAGGTATTACACTCTAGCATGTACTATTACATTCTCTCATTAATCGTATCCATTCCAAAGTCCCATCCCTCCACCATGTCCTGTAACACATTTATTAAAAACAACTCCCAGTCACTCTCAACTTAGTCTTTAATGTCTCCCCCACTTCCTCAGGAACTGAAACTCTGCTTTCACTCGAAGACCACAGTGTCTTTGAAACCTGCTGACTCACTGGGAGGAGGGTAGACGACTTCTTGCTTCCCAATGCCACACTCAGATCTCTGTCCTCTGTCACCTCTTAATAGCTGCCAACCCTTTCTCTTCTGAAGTCTAGGCCCTCCATTATTATTATTTTTTGCCTACCTTGTTTGCTGATGTTGCCAGTTTACATTTTTTCCCTTTTCAGTCCTTATCTTCAAGGACTGAAAATTCATATTTCTCTATCTCTACACATCACAGTCCTCTTGACTTACTACAAGCAAACAGAGTAAGAATACTCTCAATCCCATTCAACACCTAGGCTCCTCAACCCACTCTAGACCTCTAAATCATTCAAATCACTCAGCTTTCAAGGCTGGTTTTGTGTACTGAGTAGCACTGGACCCTGATGAGAATACCCCATTTCTTCCTGAAACTTTCTCTTCCTCTGGCTCTCATGACAGCCTCTTCTAGGTCTCCTACCTCTCTGCTTTTCTCCTTTATTTCCTATGCATAGGTTCTCCTGAGTAATTGTTTTTGGATGCTAAAAAGTCTATTTCCACCGGTGACCTCTGCTATGGAATGAACTGTGGACCCTCTACCCCCATTCATATATTGAAACTCTAATTCCCAGAGTGAGTGATGGTATTAGGATGTGGGGCCTCTGGGAGATAATTAATTTAGATGAAGGTGGAACCCTCCAAATGGCATTAGTGCCCTCATGAGAGGAGATAATGCGAGCTTACTCTAGCTCTTTCTCCTGCATGAGGACACAGTGCAAGCCAGGAAGCGAGCTTTCTCCAGAACCCGACCATGCTGGCACCGTGATCTCACACTTGCAGCCTCCAGAACTGTGAGAAATAAATGTCTATTGTTTAAGCCACCCAGTCTGTGGTATTTTGTTATGGCAGCCCGAGTTGAATAAGATAACTAATTAGGCTGTACAAGTTGCAGAGCCACATTTCCAAATGCCTAATGGACATTTCTGCTTGGATATCTCACTCCCAAGTCAAACTCAGTATGTTCAAGCCTCAACTGGTATTTTCCCCCCTCATCCAGCTTTTACTCCTTTGCTTCACATATGTGTTATTGCATTAGCATATAACTTTGCTAATTTTTGACTTTTATCAATTTCTTGCTATATATTGTTGTTATTACCTCTGAGATGCCTTTCCTTCCATCTCTTTTCTGTTCTACAGTTTCTGTATTATTTCAAGTTCTTCCTGAAATTTCATCTGCCTGCATCTACTCCTCTCAGAACACCTTACAGAATAAAGAAAGACTACAGTATTGTCTGATTACACTTTAATATTTCCACATGGCCAGAGAAGAAATTCCAGACTCCCTAGTTTGCTTTCCCAGAACCATGATCTAGTATGAATATATTTTTCCCAGTTTATCCTTAGAAATTCTCCCTGTGCCTTCTATTTTTGTCAAATCACCCACTGCTTACTGTTTCCTTAGAACTTTAAAAATGCATATACTTTCCTGCCCCTTGGCCTCCCCTGGATTAGTATTCATTTCACTGCCCATTCTGTCCTCCTTTAAGGCCTATACCAAGCACCACCTCCTCTATGAGCTGGACGGGAAGTAAGGAATCTGGCTGCCCATGTGAGTGTCTCTCCCACCCTCAGGACTCAGTGCACGCCTTTTGAAGCTTGTTCTATGCGAGGATGATCTTTGTAGATAAAAAAGGGCATGTTTCTAGATCTCTCTTTTTTTTTAAAGCAGACTGCCCGCCCAACATGAGGCCTGAACTCACCACCTGACCCTGAAATTAAGAGTCACGTGCTCTACCAACTGAGCCAGCCAGGCACCAAGAAGGGCACATTTCTAGCTGGGTGCAGGAATAATGCCCTCACTGCTAGGCTTGTCTCAGGTATGGCTTTCAGATTTCTCGAGGTGCATTTTAGCTGCCTTTGAGCAATGAGTGGCTGCACTAATCCCAGGTCTACTTTGTGTGACAGTTATTGATGCACATGCCTTCTCTTCGCTGCCGAGTCAAAGTTCCTGGAGGACAGACTTCCAGCCTGGTTCAGCTCTGGGCTTCCTAAGGACCTAGCATGGTGTGCTACTAGACAACTGTTTTTTGATAAACGAATGGATTTATGAAAACAGACTATGGGTTAGACAATCAAGGTGACTTATACTTATGAAGAAACTGAAACAAAAGGTTTCCTTTTATGAAAAAATAAAATAGCCATAAAACTACTAAGAATGTTGGGTATGATAGTAAAAGAGCAGAAGGCCAGGGATGATCAGTACATTACCACATCTGACTTGGTGGTAAACTTCTGAGTTTGCAGACTTTCTAAAGCCATCCACTTCACGGGCAGCTTGGCACCTGTTTTGTTGTGTACGCTATAGTATTCTTTATCATACATGTCTCTGGCAAGGCCAAAATCAGCAACCTTGACAGTGAATTTTTCATCCAGCCTATGAAAAGGACAAAAACTATTACTGGTGGCTGAAACAGGATAATTCACAGTGATGCTGAATATCTACAGGTCAGAACAATAACTTCATATCTGAAATCCATAACTTTTGCAGAGTAATTAACACTAAATTACAACAGAATTCTTGAATGAAAATGCTCGCCATTTATATTACAAATTCAACAGGTAGAGGAAAGAGATCAATGAATGATGTGGTATAAGAAAATCCCTTTTGCTTTAATGGTAATAAAGTTGGTCCCCCCTCCTAGCTTTCCTTGTTGCTAAATCAAGTATGCTAACTGACTCCCCCTAGCAATTGCAGATCTCTGCTTGTTATTTTACTAGTAATACTCAGCTCTGTGGGGGAGATATGACAGAGGACTTTTATTCTACCTTTTCTTTCTCAGATGGGCTAGGTTATTACATAAAACTCATATATCCCACCACTGTTTAACAGAGAAATAGGATACGTAGTAAATCCTCTAACAAAAATAGCAAGGCTCAACAAAAACCAATTTCCGCTATCTGAGGCTATGCATCCTTTGTTTAAGCTGGCTTTTATGTAGTTACATTGACCAAAACCAAGGTAGGAAATTAATAGCACAGCTCTCTCATTCACACATACCATAAGTCATGAATCAGTGCTATGTGAGGAAAGCACTGAATCCATTACAAACTGTTGATTGTTGAGTTATACAGCCCAGGCAGCCAGACACAAATAAAGCTCTTGTATATTCATTCCCAAATACCATTTTTGGTACGGCTTCTGCAGGCTGACTTCAAATCCAGTCTTAGGAAGTTGCAATATGTTGGTATTTGTGTTACCAGCCCTCTCCTTTTCACTGTAAAATGCTGAAGATCAAATTCTCCCTCCCAAACACTAATGCAGTGTGAAACCACAACATTGGGGGCTACTGGTGGGAAGGGAAAAGAAAAGCAAAAGCACAGAACAGCTGTTTAAGACCCCCTCTGGAGAATTCCTTTTAAATTCTCCATTTGATAAAGCCTGAAAGCCCCGCCTACCTCCCCGGTGCTTACATATCAGATTTAAAACTGTAACGGATATAAAGGACTTTTGCATAAGAACTGAAAACATCCTCACTAGTCCAACAGTGGGAAACAGATTCCTCTTTGTCACTTAATTTGGACTGTGGGCACAGAGATTCTTATACTTACATACAGTTTCTTGCAGCCAAATCTCTGTGGACAAACTTTTTGCTTGCAAGATATTTCATGCCTTTGGCTACTTGAAGACCAAAGCCAATAAGATCTTTTACAGTTGGGTTCTGCAATCAAAGGGAATAGAAAACACATTTAGCCAAGTATCTGATGATCTAGCTATGATCTCAGAATTCTGAAATGTTTATAAGAATTATTTTGTTTCAAACAGTAACTTGTGCCTTGTTGAGGGCAGCAATCATTTATTAGATATTTATTATTTGCAAAGCACCAGGCTAGATGCTTTTGTGAATTTTGGCTAATCCTTATACACTTCCGTAGGATGGATTCCATTTTTCAGATGGGGAAATGGAAGTGCTTTAAAGTTATTCTGGTATGGTGGGGCCAACAGATGGAAGACCACTGCCATTGAAAAGATAGCTAATTACTCACAATTCCAAAGGAAGGGGGCAAGCCATGCCAAGCAAGGCCACAGAAGAAAGCACCAGGGTTTGTCTAGGAAGTAGAGGGAGCAAGGGGAAAACACAGGCAAGAGGTTGTTTTGTGGTTTCTGAGGGAGGGTAAGCAGATTTAGGACTGGGTAGTTTGAATAATTTCAGCAGGTTCCGGGTTGTAGGGACTATCTGCAGTTGTCTGGTACCTGGCCCTGAAGTGATTACAACAGGTGGATAGTGTCTCAGAATGTGAGAGTTCTTTAAAGGAGGTAATTGGGGTATGGGCTCTAGATTGGCTGGTTTGCTTCTGAAAGAAGGAAGTTAAGTTGTTTACTATCTTTCGGAATTTGCTAGTTCTGGGAAGAGCAGGTCCTCCAAAGTCAGCAAGGAACCAGAAGTCAGAGCATTAGAGATACATGGTTAACCTAAAATTTGTTTGGAACCACAAAAGACCCCAAATAGCCAAAGTAATTTTGAAAAAGAAAAGCAAAGCTGGAGGCATCATGATTCCGGACTTCAAGCTCTATTACAAAGCTGTAGTGATTAAGACAGGATGGTACTGGCACAAAAACAGACACATACATCAATGGAACAGAATAGAAAACTCAGAAATGGACCCACAGCTATATGGTCAACCAATCTGTGACAAAGCGAAAAGAATACCCAATGGAAAAAAGACAAGTCTCTTCAACAAATGGTGTTAGGAAAACCGGACAGCCACATGAAGAAGGATGAAACTGGACCACTTTCTTTTCTTTTTTTAGATTTTATTTATTTAACAGAGAGACACAGCGAGAGAGGGAACGCAAGCAGGGCGAGTGGGCAAGGGAGAAGCAAGTTTCCCACTGAGCATGGAGCTAGATGCGGGGCTCAATCCCAGGACCCTGCGATCATGACCTGAGACATCCAGGTGCCCCTGAATCACTTTCTTATACTATACACAAAAATAAACTCAAAATGGATAAAACACCTAAATGTGAAACAGGAAACCATCAGAATCCTAAAGGAGAACATAGGCAGTGAGCTCTTTGTCTTTGGCCACAGCAACTTCTTACTGATATGTCTCAGGAAGCAACAGAAACAAAAGCAAAAATGAACTACTCAGACTTCATCAAGATAAAAAGCTACTGTACAGCAAAGGAAAGAATCAACAAAACTAAGAGGCAACCAATGGAATGGTAGAAGATATTTGCAAATGACATATTGGATTAAGGACTGGTATCCAAAAATCTATAAAGAACTTAACCAAACTCAACATCCCCAAATAAATAATCCAGTTAAGAAATGGGCAGAAGACATTAGCAGACATTTTTGCAGAGAAGACATACAAATGGATAAAAGGCATATGAAAACATGTTCAACATCACTCATCATCAGGGAAATACAAATCAAAACTACAATGAGATCCCACCTTACACCTGTTGGAACAGGTAAAATTAACAACACTGTAAACAACAGATGTTGGTGAGGATGCGGAGAAAAAAGGAACCCACTTAAACACTGTGGGTGGGAATGCAAACTGGTGCAGCCACTCTGGGAAACAGTATGGAGGTTCCTCAAAAAGTTAAAAGTAGAACTATCTTATGACCCAGTGACTGAGATACTAGGTATTTATCTAAAATTTATTTATTATTTACTAGGTATATGTATCTAAGGTACAAAAAATTCTGATTTGAAGGGGCACATGCATCTGATGTTTACAACAGCATTATCAACAACAGCAAAATAAAGGAACGATCCTAAATATTCTTTTACACACACACACACACACACACACACACACTCTAGAATATTACTCAGCCATTAAAAAGAATGAAATGTGCCATTTGCATTACGCAGATCTCCATGTGGATGGAGCTAGAATATATTATGCTAAGTGAAAGAAGTCAGTCAGAGAAAGATAAGTACCCTATGATTTTACTCACATGAGGAATTTAAGAAATGAAACAGATGACATTAGGGCAAAAAGCTGAAGCTGATGAGAAGTGGCATATGTGGCTATGTGGCAGAAAGTATTTCAGGCAGATGGAACAGCAAATGCACAGGTCCTGAGTTAGGAGAGTGGGTGGTAAGTTTGAATAATACTAAGGGACTCATTTGTAATTAATTCTTCTTTGTTTTGCCTTCTGGAGTTAAAACTCCATGTGGGTTGAAGCTCATTCTGCCTCTGTGCTTTGCCGTTTCTGGCACATGGTAGGGACTCAAAAATGATTAAATATACCTATCAGAGGGATGGTAGATCAAGGCAGCTTGCAGGACAGGTAAGAATCACTGCCCCTGGGAAACCCTTCTAGGTACCACTATCTTTCCACCAGGATAGGGGATTTTGAGGTGCAATTGAATTGAATCAGGCCCTATATATCTGAATGGTAGAAACAATTTACATGTGTTTCTTTAACTAAATGCTTTTAAAAAGGTTCAAAACAGAAACATTTTGGAAAATTGGCTGGCTGACAGGTAGTTTATCAGTTAGTAAGCTTGGTAATATACTTACATGAGTTTCATTTCTAATGAAATTTCGAAGATCTCCATGTTTCATGTATGGTAGGACCACCAGTGGAGACCCCTCACTTCGAAGGCAGATTCCCAAAAGTGAAAGAACATTTGGATGACTAAAGTCTTTCATGATGATTCCCTCAGTCAGAAACTGGGAAACTTCGCCTATGTCAGTGATTCCTGAGAAATCCAGCAGTGGAGACGTTAACTTCATTATGGACCAATAAATACTTCGTCAAATTCAGAAAGGAAGAGTTACAGAAAGTAAAACCACATGGATGAATCTTGTCCTGACACCCCATCCTCAGAGTGTTTTTTAATAATACATTTGAGTAAAAGATGTCACCCTGTAATGTGTCTTCAAGTCACCCCCAAACTCTAGCAGTTAGTCTGTCTCATACAGAAAAAAGAAGAGGGAAGTAGGCCAGTCCATTTCTGCTGTGGCTGTCTATGGCAAGGGTCTGCAAACTTCTATAAAAAGCCAGAGAGTAAGTATTTTTGGGCTTTGTGGGCCATATGGCCTCTGTCGCAAATACTCAACTCTTCCAGTGCAGTGCAAGCAGCCACAGACAATTATCTATGAAACAGTCATTGGGCCATAGTTTTCTGGTCCCTGGAATAGTGGGGTTTGAAGACCAATTGTCATACAGTATCTAAGTAGACTTTTCTGGTATAACAGTTTCTAATCATGTCCAGATAGAGATCCTGAGGGCCTTATACTAGTCAGCATTGATGAAAGGTTAATGACCTTTAATTTATTAATCTGACTAGTACCAGTGTCAGTGATTATATATATTTATATATATATATATATATATATATATATATATATTTTATTTTCTTTTTTATTTTTTTTAAAAAAAACAAAGCATTCTGAGACCTGGAAGTCCTCAGGTATTTGGAAGAGAGATTATGTGGATGGGAGAGAGATTAACACACACCCGGGACAGACAGGGATGTCTTGCTGTTAGGATTGTTCTGAGTACAACGAGCACTGGTACCATCTTGTAAGCAGATTTACTGATAATCCTTTACAGTTTATAGTTAGGTTTCATATAAACTGTCCCTTTAATTACATTATGGTCAGACTTCCAACAAAATCAACCATATAGAACACTGTTCAGCATAGGGACTTATGTAAAAAAGGTTGGAAAACTTCTGTCAATAACATATTTTGGAAGAAAACCTTTCACTTGTGCACCAAGAACTTATTAATTCTGATAAAAATTTCTATTATAGCTGGTTAACACTTTTCAGGCTACTGCAAATTATAAGCAGAAATTTAGCAATATACGTAGAAAAAGCAAACACTGACTTGATGGGTGAGACCTGCCAGCAAAGGTGGAGCCAGGAAAATTCTAGTAGGATGAGTACATGGGGTTGCACAAGATTTATGTCTTAATTATGGCTCCAGGTCATCAATAATCTTAGTTAATATCTGGAGACATTCTCTGTTTCTTAACAGAGTATACATTCCATTTAATGAAGATTTTCTCAATAACATCTAAAATTAAAAAAAATTCTAGCATTAAAAGAGGTAAATATCACTTGTTTATGAAGTTCATTTATGTAGAATACCTTATTCCCCCCCAAACGAAGATTAATGAGATATTGCCATACTTACGATTTCTCAGTTTCTGCCTACATATTTTTCTCCTGTTTGTCTTTTTTCATTTTTAAGTCTTTTTAATGAAAGTTGTGGTAAAAAAGTAATTATAGTAATTCTTTTGGATAAAATGAGTCATTACTACAGGATGTGCCAACATGGCTCCAATAGTTTCCATAAATGTCACTTGCAAAACAAATATTACAAGCCAAATACAGTTAAATGACACTCAGTTCATCCAAGAACATCATTTCACCAAACTCTTATTTATGAGGGCTCTGAGAAATAATTTCTGAGGGAATATTTCAATAAGAATTTAGACCAACCAAATTTTCAGGATTAGACCCCTAATTCCAGCAGTAGCTGATTTTTCCACAAGGAAAGTATAAATCAGCATTTTATTATGAACTACTTAATAGTAAACCATGAAAGTGTACTCCATTGTTAAATTAAATAACACTTACGATTCAAGGATTTCACAGCACAGTGAATTTTCTTGTCATCATTGTCCAACAAAGTCCCGTGGTATACACACCCAAAATGTCCTACATGAAAGGGAATTTGGTTAGTGTTACATTACTTTTATTTTTTATTTTTTTTTTAAAGATTTTTTTTTTATTTATTTGACAGAGAGACCTCACAAGTAGGCAGAGGCAGGCAGAGAGAGAGAGAGAGAGAGAGGGAAGTAGGCTCCCTGGTGAGTAGAGAGCCCGATGCAGGACTCGATCCCAGGACCCTGAGATCATGACCTGAGCGGAAGACAGAAGCTTAACCCACTGAGCCACCCAGGCGCCCAGTGTTACATTACTTTTAATTAGGCAATTATCACTTGAAAAGCCCTTTGTGGTTTTTATTTCCTTCTTTTTCCTACATGGCAAAAAAATGCATTGTTTCTTATACTTTTGATTAGTAGTGTTTGTTTATAAAATATGTAGATGTAAGGTATTTCATCCTAAGATATAAACAATATGCTTATTTAGTACATGGTAGAAAAATTTAGGTGATATAACTGTTACTAAAGGCTAATACAGCAAAATATTCAACCACAGTGGACACTGAACACAAGAGTAACATCTGCCTTATAAAATAAATTTATTATTTTGGGGGCAGCTGGGTGGCTAAGCTGGTTATACATCCCGACTCCTGGTTTCAGCTCAGGTCATAATCTCAGGGTCATGAGACTGAGCATTGGGCTCTTGCTGACCGCAGAATTTGTTTATGATTCTCTCGCTCCCTCTGACCCTCCCCACTGTGCGTGCTTGCATGCTCTTTCTCTAAATTAAATAAATAAGTCTTAAAAAAAAAGAAATTCATTATTTTTAAGGATCAAATAATATCTTTTAAAAGTGAAAATAAAGTTTTATCCCATGAAGAAATGCAGTAAAAGAAGTTCCCTCTATTCCAGTAAACTAAACTGAAATAAAAATGTCACCATTAGAAATAAGATTAGCATTATAGAATACGGATTTCCCCCATTAGTCACCGGTTAATACATAATCCAGGTTGGCAGAAACTGAAAGTCAACTGCCCAAATGAAGCAAATTCAGTCTGAATCATTTCATCTAGTTCTCTCTGGCTTTAGCTACATCACTTTCCAATGGTAGCCTTTCATCTAGTGGCAGTAATTTTCCCCAGTGGTGCCAAACGTCTGGTAGCTGTGTAAGTCACTCATTAATTAGTTCATCCATCCAGCCAAGATTCCCTGAGTTCCTAGTATGTGAGTGTCAGGCATTAGCTTACCCTTTTAATGTAAAGATGAATAAAATAAAACCTATGCTCTTGAGAGCTCATTTTCTACTGGGAAAAACATAGAAATAATAATATTTACAGAATCACTAATGGTTACTACTTCCTAAGAGAAATAATTGACATTTTAGCCCCTTTACAGATGAAAATTAAAAATTCTAATTTTATAATGTATAGAATTAGAACATAATTGGTGAGGCCACATTACCTAAAACTGGCACAATTTCTGGGATTTATAGGCTAGTAATAGAACTATATATTACTCTGATGTAAAACAGGTTAACAGTGCAACTACTATTCGGGAAAGGGAACATGCTAAGGATTAAAATCTGGAAACTGTTGTAGAAGAACATGTGGATGCTATCACAGGAAAATGGGAAAGCTGTGTGTTCATAGAAGGCAGACTGTCCCATCAGCTTCTGTTGCATCACGCTGGCAGATGCCTGCTACCTTTTGCAGCGCATATAGAATAAAAGAGATCAGAGGCCATTCAGTATCAACGGCAAAAGCTTTTTAGAAAAAAAAAAAAAAAGAAGAAGAAGAAGAACGCAGTTCATTCCCTGGCTTCTGGTTGCTTTCTTTTCCTGCTAAATATTTCCTCAAACACTGTGTATGCAAGCTGTTACTGCTGCTCCGGCTGGCTTATTACAAAGATTCATCCTCTTTGTATAAAGAAATTGGAGTGCATTGTAGAGATGATATATGTTGCTTCAGATCAGGGGAATGCTATAAATTCCATCTTTTGATGCTGTCCAGAAGTGTACAAACTGCTATAAACCAGAACTTGATAGATTTAGTCACTGTTCTCAGCGTAAAGAAAGACTAGAGGAAGATATGAGTAAAAATATTGGAACTTAATGATTTGCATAGACGTAAACTGCACCTTCCAAGAAACTACACTTGCCATTATGAAAAAGATGAGGAAAGAATGTGATTTATTTTTCATATGTTTAGGAGATTATCAAATTGTCTCCCTGCACAGGGGCAAATCCCCATGGATATGATTTGTAGGGCCCTCTTTCTGCAGAACAGAAATCAAGTGCACTTGTTATCACTGCCTTGTCAGCTGCTTTCACCATTGTCTAAGCTCCTAATCTGCAAAGGCAGAAGATAAAATGCTTACTGGAAAACTGTTTAACAAAGAGTTGAGTGGAAATACTTACCTCTTCCTATGACTTCATTGAAATGCACAATCAGGCTACTCGGCCCAATCACTACGTGCTGGACTGCCTGGACCAGTTCTGGATTTAGAGCACTGAGGTCAATGTGGACAGTATTTTGCAGTAATGGACTGGATATATCAGAGTCCCCACTAGTAAGCATAGGGGACAGGTCTGTCAGAGGATACTGTACTTGTCTGCATGATCCATTCTGGGATGAGTTAGGAAACTGATCTGCAAGATAAAGCAAAGTTATTAGAAAACAAAGTGAAAACTCAGTAGAGACTACAACAGGGCAACAAATTAAATTGATAATGAAGTCTGGATTTTATAATTTAAGGAATGGTAGTTTTATCATTGAATGAGGCTAGAAAAAGGCTTTACAAAAGAATTGGGTTAATAAAAATGATAATTTGGGGAAAGGTACTGGCTTACATATACAAGAGTTGGAACAAAATGCTTACAAATTTTCTTTTAAATAAACTAAGCATTAACTTTGAAACCTTGTTTATTCTCATTTCCTTAGACATTTATCTTTTAATATATAGCAAAAAGCCATGCTTGAGATTTATTTTTTAATATTCTATATTCTTAAGATTGGGAAGCAGCAAAAGTAGTTTGCTTTTGAGAGAATAGTGTTTATTAGTGGAATTAATTAGTATTGCTCTACATCTATATGGATTCCTGGCCAAGGAAAAGTACAGTATAGTGAAATTAGAAATATATAAATGGTTAAATTTTCAGAATTGAAGGCTTTTTGCATTAGTGGTAAATTCTCCCCTGCATGTTGATGACAGCAGATATAATGGGATCTCCATTCAGAGAAGCCTAGCATTGGGTTGGTGTGCCATCCCTACTGCTTAATTGAGGGACTTGGAAAGGGATCAGCATTCTTTCTACATTGATCTTTACAACCAAAACTCTCTAAGAGCCTCAGGCAAGGTTCTGTACTGTAAGATGAAGCTTTTTCATAAGAAATTATGGGGTGAAGATAAATTTCTCAGTGAGAAAGAGGGCAGAGAAGCCACCAGCTGCGTTGCTCTTTCCACTGGGAATCCAAACATAACAAGGAGACGGCATCATCTCTGCAACTGATATGAAGACGGACCAGGCAGGGTATTGAAATATATCAGTATATAACATGGGAAGAGGCGAGAGGGTTTGGGAGGGTCCCTGTTGGCACTAAAAGATAACATAGCTTGTTTGCAAATGGCCAGGAAAATCAGAACCTGAGAGTGGGGCATAAAAAGAAAGTTGATGGTACTCTGACTATTCTTAACCCTGTTTAAGCATTTTTAGTATTTTCCATAGTGGACAGCTTGGTTATTGTCAATTTGGCTAAAGCAGCAAATCTCAACAGTGGTTCCACAAAAGCTTTGGGGGCCACTTATAATTATAGTAACTAACTGGAGATAAGACAGATACATCCTTACAGGAAGGATGCAGAAACTCAGGTGAGCACCTGGAATGCTGGATGGGCCAGGGAAGAAAGAAGCCTAGCTGGGTGCCTGGGTTCCTTTAATCAGGCTCTGCTTCCATGCTTGAAGGTTCAATGTAGGAAAGGTAATGAAACTCAAGCTTCTCAGCAATGTTGAGAGAGGTTTGTTCAATAACAAGTTTGAAGGATTAAATTAGCTTTAAAAAAATTACTTGTGAATTGTAATGATCTCAGATTAGAGCTATTAAGTGTCAAACATAAAATACTAATAGATGTAAATTTCAAAGCTATAAACTGGGTTTGATTTGTTCATGTTGTTAAGGGCATGGATTTTCAAAGGCAAACGGAGTCATGTGGGCAAAGACAGTATTTATATGTATCTCTATAGAACTAATATAAGTTTCAAACATTAAGAGGCAGTGAAGGTTGAAAAAGTTAAAATATGAAGTGCCTCATTGCTCTTGTACTTGTTTTGATGACCAATTTCTAGTTTTCCAGTATCTCCAACCATCTGTGACTCATTTTATTTGTCTAATGGTAAATATTCAACCAGGGAAGGGCTTGTACCTGACTCACGTCTTGGAACTTCTAAAGATAATGACGCAGATACAATACAGATATTTTGCTTTTACCAGGAGATTTGAAGTAAAACAATGTGAAATTCTCTGGTTAACCTGACCAGTATTAGGCCTAGTGTCTTGCAAAGCAGATGGTGCTGACCACTCCTTTTTAAATGGCATAACTGGAGGTTTTTATTGGATAAGACTCAGAATATATTCAAGTCCTGGAATGTTGGTGGGTAAAAGGCTGTGTACTGACAGCTCATTGAGAATCCTTTAAAGGGACAGTAAAGGTAGAATTTAAATGCTTGAGGATTAACAGGTTTAAAAAAAAAAGGTATCAGTGTCCACTTATATTTAAATAAATAGAAGGTTTGTATCTTAAATATTCCTGCGTTGTTAAAGAGTGCTTCACAGTTTCTTAGCATTGAATTCAGATGATGAAGACCTTACCTTTGCAAAAATGATTTTAAAATTAAAATTTTTGTGAAAAGAAAACTTAAAGACTCTAAAGATCTAATGCAATATGTAAATGATTCCATTTAAAAATAAGAGCCTTATAATTCTGTGTCAAATTAAATACTTCTTAGGCCAAAGAAGATGTAAATACTTCTTTTTTATTTTTATAAAAACTTATTAAGGCAAAACCAAAAATACAAAACAATGCCACAACCCACTGAGGTATATGTATAGGTATTTCTTAGAATGATAAACTGAAATATACCTTCTGGAAAAGTAGCTCGGTAGTCTACAGATTCATTTGAAACCATTTCTGTAGTTGGGCTTACACTTCGGGCACTTACAAGCCTATCCAAATGAGGAGTGTGTACTCTTGCATCATAGCGAACTAATTCACTGCCCAGATCTTAAAACAGAGAGAGAGAAAGAGCTCGTTAAAGACTTGGCTATCATGGGTCCCAGTAGACCTTGACCCAGTGACCAGAACTCATGGGTTTGTGGATTGCATTTAAGACAACACACATGAATTGATGGCAATTTTAAATTGTAGTGACTGTACACTCTACGTAACTTTTTAAAGCAAATAGTAACAACAACAAAAAATGCACCTTTAATTTGCTTTCTCCTTTTCAGCCACAGGAAAAGCCCAAGTAATAGTAAGACTATTAATGATATTGAGATAACACCAACAATCAATCCTGTGAAATTCTGATCTCGTTGAACAATTACTTTTCCAAGGATGGTTGAAGAAACTGCTTGCTTCCACTAAAAATGACAAATACAGAAAAACAAGAATTTAGCCATGATAAATACAAAATGTACTACACAGGTTGAATCACTCTCCTTGGACCCCAAGTACCAGCTGGTTATTAATGTTCTAGAAGTGGCATAATTGCCTTCAGAGCAGTAAGATAGTCCTTAATTCTGTTTCAGTGTTCAAATAATTAAGGGCTACTGATTCCTAAAGTACTTATATGACACTTAGCTGTTTGTACTTATAACTAAGTATTAGGGATGAAAAGATAAATAAAAACCAGTTTTTGATCTTGAGGAACTAAATTATAGAAAGGGAGACAAATACATAAATAAGTGATAACACAATATGAAGTGCACCTTAGAAGTATGAATAATCAGTAAGAAACAGAGACCACGGGACATTCACTCTATCTTGAAGGGCTGGGTAGGGGGAGAGAAGACATTTTATAAGAGGTAAATAATCACATGGAATAATAAAGTTGCAAAATATTTTTATTCTAGTTTTGAGACAAAGAAGAAATCTTTGAGGATCCTTCGGGCTTTAAAATGGTTTGATTTTTAGGATTTATGGTCCTTTTGAACTTCAAACTCTGATATCATGATTCAGCCTTAAATTTTATAATATTTTTGTATTTTCTTATTTCATTACTCTCTCCCCTCCATTTTATAACTTTTTAGAAGACCTCAGGAACCCTTTAAAATTCACTCATTCTTGGATAAACAAAATGTGGTCTATCTATCTGATGGAATATTACTTAGCCTTAAAAATAATGAAGTTCTGACACATACTAGAACATGTATGAACCATGAAAACATGCTTAGTAAAATAAGCCAGACACACAAGGACAAATACGGTATGATTCCACTTATATGAAATATTTAGAATAGGCAAATTCATAAAGACAGAAAATAGATTAGAGGTTACCCAGGGCTGGGGAAGAGGAGGGAATATGACAGGATGGCTTAATGGTTCCAGGGTTCCTCTTTGGGGTGATGAAAAAATTTGAGAATTAGTGGTGATGGCTGAACAATACTGTCAATGTAATTAATGTCATGGAATTGTACACTAAAAAATAGTTAAAATGGCAAATTTTATGATACATATAACTTTGCCATAATTTAAACAATTAATAAGGTAATACACTCAAAACCACTGAACTGTACACTTTAAATGTATGAGTTGTATGGTGCAACATGAAAGAAGTTATTATATAATAATTTAAGTCCTATTTTACTTTGTTCATGCATTTGAGGTCACTGTGGAGATCAGCAGTATGTTGGCTCTGGCCTCCTAAGAAGTGGGGGGAGGGTACACTGGGATGTGCCCTTATCCCTCCTGAGAGTTACAATAAATTTTGGCAAAAGCGGGGGATGATGGAGAGGGAGTGTGGTTAGGAAGGACTTTTGAGATCTACTCTCTGAAGCTTGGGAAGGAGACAGTGCAACAAAACCTCACTAATTCTAAAATAACAACTAAGAATTGAGGCTAAGCTGATGAGTCAAAGCCAACACACAAATGAGCTTTAATGATTTATTTTAAGCCTGCAAGTGACATAATTACACTGGCATCTTTATTTACATCATGAGAGAAATGCAGGAATCCCACCTCTATATTTAGCTCGTTGTTCAACTTCAGCAGGTCATTGGGGACCTTGCATAAAACAGCTTCAGAATCTGAGTATATAGTCTCACAGCTCTTATTTCCAACTTTTAACACTTCACCTTTAACTGCTTCAGGGTCAATATCATTTCCCTAAAAGGAAAAAAGAGGTTGTTAACACTTCCCAGTTTTTCAGGAATGCTAACAATTGTGAAAGAACATAAATATACTGCAAACACAGGCCACATTGTTTGCCAAGGCATATGATTTTATGATACTCATTTTTGTGGGAATTTGGGTAGTTGCAAGAGAGCATGGCCATGCCATTTTGGGGCACTAATTAGGATTCACAGCATATAGCTTTTTATTATTTTTTTAGATTTACAAGTAATCTCTACAGTCAACATGGGGCTCGAACTTACAACCCTGAGATCAAGAGTTGTATGCTCCCCAGACTGAGTCAGCCAAGTGCCCTTACAGCTTTTCTATCAAATCAGATTTTAGAGCAAAGGAGAGATTTTTTGTTCCACACCCTTCCATCCAATGACCTCTTACGCATAATCAGCTTATTTTTTTTTAAACTAGAAGAAATATCTTAAACATTTTATTTTTACAACTGACAACTCAGTATCTGGTGTCTCATTATTATATTCAGTTATGTAAAGAATGAATCATTGAACACTACATCAAAAACTAACTGAACATAACCACCTTATTAATGTCTTTAGGGGGTATCAGTGGTTGGCAAAAAGGAAATACTTAGAGATTCAGTTGTTCCACTAACACTGCTTCATGCAGTGACACTGAACCTTGGTTTTACTTTTAGAATCGCATTGAAAGAGCTTTACAAAATAGTGATATCTGGGGCCCATTTCCAGAGATTCTGAACTAATTTATCTATGTTAATGTATTCCTTTTGAGTTTGAGTTGGGCAGTTTCTTTTTATCCTACCTGAGCAGCTGAATCTTACATATAAGTAAATTCATTTTTACAGAAATTCCTGTGAGATGCCGTATAACCCTCATTAGGATTTGAGAGCATGATTACATTATTTTGAACATTTAGTTACATGAGGATTAAAAAAAAATGCAACTAGACATATTTAGTTAATGAAGTAACTATTAGGAATTTTAAAAATACCAATATTTTGTTGAAGAAACCAATGATTAGCCTTGGGAAAGAAGTGAAAATGTAGGCACAACTTCTCATATCAAGACTTAACAACTGTATTCACAGTTGTTTATTAAAAGTTAAAAGGAGAGTATATCAAAACATATTACTATTTTTCTTATGGACAAAGAGTAGCCAGTAATAACAATAGTAATGCTACTGTGTTTAATGTGATCTTTAGTACTTGGCATACTGCTTTTATGTACATTGTCTTACACGGATTTCAGTAGATTGATAGGTCAGAAGTCATTTTGGGAAAAGAAGTTAAAAGAAAATACTTCTTTCTAACATGAATCCGGAGTCTAAGAAAAAAATGCATAGAGATGAACCCTATCCTTCTGTTTTTTAGATATTTCTAGAGGCAGTATGTGTATGCCATTGAGCCAGGTCAGCCACACAGGGCAATTCAACATAAAAACACATAAATCTAACAGGTCACTTTGGGGCTCCAAATGACAACTTGTTGGTTAGGTCTGAGGAGGGGTAAGGCACTCACTCACATATTGGAGGGAATTCAGGGAATGACAAAGAAAAGAGATTAAAGAGTGGCAGGGCTTGATTTATGAGGGAATGACTAAAATGTGTCTTGCTTGCTTAGATGATAACCAGGGCTGGGGGAAGGGATGAACATACTGCATTTGCCTTCCAGTACTCCTCCTTTTAGGCACAGGTCTCCTTGGATGTGCATAAAGGCTTCACTAAAACAAAAACAGGCCACTCAGCTAACACTGAACCCCTTTTCATTTGTGCCTAGTAGGGAACATATACATCGTGAGATACAAGTAATTACTATCAGCTTTGTATGTGTAATTGTTTAAAAGTTTACCACCCGAGATGTCACAAAAGGGATACTGGTCATCTACTACTATATGCAGAGGGGTCTGAATCAGGAAAAAGTAAAAATAGATAGAGGGTACTTTTTTTTTTTTTAAGATTTTATTTATTTATTTGACAGAAATCACAAGTAGGCAGAGAGGCAGGCAGAGAGAGAGGGGGAGGCAGGCTCCCCGCTGAGCAGAGAGCCTGATGTGGGGCTCAATCCCAGGACCCTGAGATCATGACCTGAGCTGAAGGCAGGGGCTTTAATCCACTGAGCCACCCAGGTGCCCCAGATAGAGGGTACTTTTTGTCATTTAAAATAAACATATCTTTATGGAGTTGTGGGAAAAATGCATATGTTTAGAACTTTTTAAATTTACTTTTTATTTTTTAATATTAACTATTATTAAAATAGAACATATAAATTGGCTCAGTTCCCCAGTCATTAAAATGGCAATATACTCTTTTAAATAAAGCAGCGCAGGAAAAACTTTCTGGTCTTTAATCCCCAACACAAATAGAGCAATTTAGAATTATAATTACCTCATTTTATCTTGTAAAGACAGCCCCCCTGAGGTAGGTATTATTGTCATTCCAGCTTTATGCATTGAGAACTAAGGTTCAAGAAGGGACTAGGTCATGAGGCAAATCAAATTTCATTTGCTACAAAATCTACTTATCATCCACTCTGTGTTAGACACTATTCTAGTTACTGAGAATATAAAGGTGAACAAGAGGTTTTTCTTTTCACTGTAATGTTAAAATAAATACTTTTCTAAAGTGAAAACTAATTACTCCTAATGTGTTATGTTAGGATGTCCCTTATTCCTTTCATCTCCAACTCTGGCCAGGTGTGCCATAGTGTTTCTATCTAGGATTCAGGCCTGAGGACCCATGTCTGTGCTGGTTACAGAACACAGTAGATGGTGGCAGTAGGTAGAACTGGAAAACAGCATAATAGCAGGAGGGATCTTACAAGATTTCAGATATCCAGGTGGCCACAAGATTGAGTCTGGGAAAGCCAGCTAAAGCAATGAGGTGCAGGTTGGTAGAGGACCCAGAGAGGCAACAGTCCAGGGAGGTCGGCAAACAGAAAGTCAGTGAGTTGGTGGTGATAGGGTCAGAAGGGGGAGATTTACATTTCCTCCAGAGGATAGGAGTCCCTCTGTTTAGAGACTAGGCAAAAGAACCTTCACAGAAGCTTTCAAAACGGAGTTCCACAGGATGTTAATAAGCATTTGTAAAAATTTCCTGGTCATTTGGGAAAAGCTGCATGAACGAAAATTAAAATGGTTTCTTCATTGCCAGCTGGGGTACTGTAAAACTGCTGATCTTCCTGCACCCCCCCACCACCCGTTTTCCTGATTTAGCTGATTTTTCCAGACTGTACCTCTGAAGCATCGCTACGACCATATACATCAATATGCTCCAAAATAACATAAATCCCCAGGTCAGTGTCAGGTAGTCTTTGTTCCAGCATTACATACTGAACTTCTCTACCTTCCATAAAATATGCTCACGCACAAATGTCACATAATAAGATAATTAGGGAAAAAGGTAGGGTTTCTTTACAAATATCTAAAAATCAATTCTGCTTAAGGAATTTAGAGCTATCTCACCTAAAGAATTGTATAGATATCTATATACCATACGATAGAAAATTTTCTCTGTTATGAAAGGTATTTTGGTATATATATTAAATGAAAGTTGATATGAGAATCTACTGTAAAGATGAAATTTGGAATCGAGAGATGTGTGAGTCCTAGTCCTGCTATTTGCTCTGTAAGACAAATCACCCAAGCTTTCTAAGCCTATGTTTACTTATCTGTAAATGGGGATAATCATTACTGGACCTCTAAACCACATGGGTCCATATGAGTCTGAAATGAAATAATATATATCAAAGTACTATGTTGACTAATCTTCCAAAAAAATGTGAGCTGCTATTGACATAAACATTGTGTCCTGGTGTGTACTTCAAAGGAGGTGTCTACTTTTGATGACCACTGTCCACAATTTGTCCTGACTAACTTGAAATCATGGCCATAAACTACCTCCCACATCGATGGGATTTCTGGTTCATTCTGAGGGATAATTGATCCTTGGTCTCTGTTACATTTTTATTGATCCAAACTTGGCTGACCCTCTTGGTCATGGTGTACTGCTGACTGAGGCAATTCTCACAACTAGGGCTGGGGACTATCACAATCTCTTTTTAGCCAGGGAATTTCTGTAGGCATGGCTGCTTGAGGACCATGAACTCTTCTTGACAATAAGGAACAACTCTCTGTCTAAACACATAATTCTCTCCATAGCTTTCACTGATGGAATACAAACCTACTTCACACTCATGTTTTGAACAGTAATTGGACAAGCACAACATGAAATAAAATGGCATTCTTTCTTTTGATAAAAACAGTGCACTGCATGTCTAGAAGAAGACTTTTCTCATGGTTTGCTTTTGTTTCTGTCCCAATTGAGGGAGAGGTTTTAATGTGATCAACTTTAGAAACTGATAAAGGGTTAAATAGCTGTCACACAACTTTTCTTACACCTTAGATTTCCTCGTGTATAAAGAAAATGGACTATGGGAGATTGAATGATGATACCAAAATAATCCCCCTAAATCACCCTTTTCTCCCCAAACTGTCATTCTGTGACATGATAGATATTATACACTTGTTTGAGAAAAGAGTCATAGAGAAAAAAAGAAAGCGTTTTGTGTCTGTTTCCAGAGACTCCCTTGGGCCATGCTGGGAAGAGCACTGAAAGGCTGAGGATGATGTCAAATCACGTTTTTTTAGGTCCAACAATTTTGTAGGACATTGAATAATTGGTATTTAATTTACAGAAAAAGAAGTTTTCACTTCTATAAGACTGTGCTTGGAAGGGTAGATAAAGGACCATTTATTTCTAATCCTTCCATCAGAGATAGAGGAAGAGAAAAATAGAGTTTATCTGGGCGTAAAAACATTTGCAAATAAACCTTTGTTTTCATCAAGAAAAACCAAATAGAATCTTTCAAATGGCAAACACAGTAATTGTTGAAAGCAAAAGGTCACAGTAGATTAGTTTTATTGAAAAAAAAAAGTGATAAAAGCTCTTTCTCCTTTTCTAAAACTAATTAAAGAAGCAGATGAAAGAACTTTGCTGTGGTAAACAAACATGCTGTTCACTGAAGCAGGCTTCCATTTAATTTCATGCTGGGCTTGCTTAATTATTGTGCAAAACACAATTCGAGGTGAGTAAACTTATATGAGTATGAACGTGTGCATGAATTTGGCTATAGATAAAATCTCATTGAAAAAGCAGAAAAACTTTAGCAGAAACGCGTTATTACTTAGATGGAGATGATCCACAGGAACGTATATCTAAACAAGGACTATCCTATTACTTTGTATTTGTTCATATTTGCATTCAGGATATGTTTCCAGGGAAAGTTCTGAATGTCTAAAACAACATAGTGAAGGGTAAGTGTTTTGCTCTTTCTAGTGACTGGGGCTACTGATGAAGTCTTGATGATTTTGCTGTTTTATTACTACTTGAAATAAAAATAACTGAAGGGACATAAGACAGCTGTATTCTAGTCTTTGTTTTGCTATGTCCCATCACTTGTCAAACCACTTAACCTCTCTGCATTTGAGTGTTCTCTGTTTGCAACAGGCTCGGTTAGAAAAGATAATTTGTTATTCTCCAATTAAATTACATTTAGAGGCTACTATATTCCTACAGTAGAGGAAATCCAGCTCCATTTAGAAATCAGTTTAGAGATGACCATACCCAGATACAAAATTCCAAGTACTACAAGGAAGTACAGAACTACAACTGATGCATTTACTTTCTTTCTTTCTTTCTTTCTTTTTTTTTTTCTTAAAGATTTTATTTATTTATTTGAGAGAGAGATCACAAGTAGGCAGAGAGGCAGGCGGGGGGAGGAGGGGAGTAGGCCCCCTGCTGAGCAGAGAGCCCAATGCAGGGATCTATCCCTGGACCCAGAGACCAGGACCAGAGCCAAAGACAGAGACTTAAACCCACTGAGCCACCCAGGTGCCCCATGCATTTACTTTCAAGGTTCTTACCTTTTATCTCATATTGAGCACATTTAGGTGTCCAGGGAAATGTATAACAACAGCAGAATAATGCATTACAGGCAGCCTATTTAATAGATTGTGTCCCACATTTGCTACTTTTTAATACACACACAAGAAAGAATTTTTAAATGCTTCATTAAAAAGTAGTCCATGATTATACTTAACTTTTAGTCTTATGCCAAAAAGATTTGTTTTACAGAGTTTAGATATTCGCTGATGTAGTATAAGATAATGACCCAGAACAACAATTCTATTCATACAGCTATGAAGTCAATTAAGTTCAAGTTGATGATTTAAGAGGGCATTTTTATGCATTTCTTACCTTAATTTCCAGTACATTTTCATTGCCTATTGAGATCATCACTGGCTTTTCAAAAGGCTTAAACACAGGATTATGTACATAAATGAGATCAAAGTATTTGGAATGGATCCCATCTAACATGAAAAAGGCTTTGGTTTTCAGAGGGAGCTGCAGACTCAGCTGTTGCAGTGAAGGAGTTGTACAGCAGATTATCTCTGAATTAGAGCGATGTTGACATGCCTATAGTAAGACACAATTATCCACTGTAGACAGAAGATAGCTTGACGACATCAATAGCAATTTCCACATTTCACTGTTTTAGACAATCAATTAAAAATATGTAATTTTTGAAAAAAAAAATCAGCATTTAATTTCCTAATGTTGAAGAACACATTTCTGGTAACATGAGAGATGCAAAATTATCCTAACAATACAATCTTTAAAGGAACACAGGGCTTCACTGGCCTGGAATAAGCTATTCTGATCTAATTGAAGATGGCTCTCCCTCCTCCATCAATTTTATTTTCCTTAAGATGACAGGACAGTCAGTCACCTGGAGGGACTGTCTCTTTGTTTATGAAACAGAAATGGCAGAGTGAGAGCTGGACTTTGTGTGGTTAGAAGTCCTTGATTCACACCATACCTCGAAAATAAGTTGTGAGAATACAAAGCCCTTAGAAAGAGACTCAGTGTTCTCAATTAAGAATTAAGATTAAAATGTTACTCACAACGTGTGATACTACATGTTAAGTGCTTTGCCAACTACTGTGCACCATACTGATGACATTATAATTAGCTATGTAGTCAGGTCATCTTATTAATGTGTTTCAAGCTATCAATTTTTGAGTGCCACGTTCTGTGCAAAATACTTTATAGGCTGGTCTCATTTCATCCTCACAACAGTCCTAAGAGATAGGTACTATGATTCCCCACATTTTACAAATGAAGAAACAGCTTTTTGAGCTAATGTCAGGTCACACAACTCTGCATGGCAGAGTAGGGAACATAAATCCTAGGCCACTGGCTTAAATTCACTGCCTTAACCCCCTGCTCTATGACTTCTTACTCACTCTATATTCTATACCGGCAGATCTTTTCTTATGCTATTTTACAAAGGCTCTGCTATTATTGCTTCATGTGCTTTTATCTCTCACTTCAAATCTTCCCCTTTGGAATTCTGATTTATGGAAGTTTGGAAAATGTGGCTTCCTCTCGATTGTGCTTAGACTAAACCAGCAACACAAAGTGGCACATTTGAGGTTAAATGGTTGCATTTTTTCCCCCAAGGAAAAGACAAACAAGCAACAACATCCTTAGATTTCCTTTTCTTTGACAAGTAGAGTTGGAGATAAAACAATTAGTTATGCCCACAATAGAAAAAGGACTCAGGATATACATAAAAAGCACAAGCAAAACTGGGTATTCGATATTTTCTTCTAAAAATAATTTAAAATAATTATTCTACATTTTAAAATGCATGTTGTAAGCAGATAGAGAAAACAGATACATATAGACACAATGGAAATAAAGTATTAGTTTTATGTCAAATTCATATTATAATGCCAAAAGCTATTTATTATCATCTTGAAACATGAAAATGAACAGTTTTACTGACAACACAATAATTCTCTCTAAACAATAAAAAATTTGAAAACTATACAATAAACTGCTGGCTTCTGTGCCGTATTGTGAATTAATTAATATTAATTTTGTTAAGATGATGTATTTTTATTTTATTTTATTTATTTATTTTTTTAGTATTTTTTATTTTAAAAGATTAGAGTTTGTTGGACTTAAAAGTTATCATGACTGGATCAGTATATCTAAATCAGATCTGGCCAAGAGTTTTTATTTGTTTTTTCTTTTTTTAAAGATTTATTTATTTATTTATTTGACAGACAGAGATCACAAGTAGGCACAGAGGCAGGCAGAGAGAGAAGAAGGGATGCAGGCTCCCTGCTGAGCAGAGAGCCTGACCTGGGGCTCGATCCCAGGACTCTGGGATCATGACCTGAGCTGAAGGCAGAGGCTTTAACCCACTGAGCCACCCAGGCGCCCCAAGAGTTTTTATTTGTTAAATAATAAATGGGTTCATGGTCATGGTCAGCTTCAAATTCTATAAGCACCAAGAAATACAAAGTTCTTTATAAGGAATTTTCCAAACAATAGTCAAATTGAATTTTTCATTCTCACCTAATTCTAATACATTCTTCTATTATGATAATACATTTGTGGTAAAAACAAGAGAAGTTTACATTTCCAGATATGTAGAGGTAAGATTTTTATCTTCTATCATTGTTTGAATCTTCCTTGGGTTATGGAACTCTTATGTTTAACATCTAGGAGGTTTTTAAAGAAATGTTTGATTACAAATGAATGAATAAAGCCAAAAGGTGTCTACATGTCATCATAATGGTTATGAGGGAGAAGGAAATTTAGCTATGATTTTAATAACCTAGGCTCAGCATGATTAGATAAATTAATAATTTCTCAGATTTCTAAAGAGTCACACGCCAACACCAAAAAGGGTATCCTTATTTGGTTAATGAAAAATTGTTCTGTTTAGTTGTGGAGAAGTGATACTCTTTAAACTAATAGCAGTGGTGTTCTAACTTTATTTGTGGCCATGCGTGGGGATTGGTTTTAAAGCTCTCTACTTCATCCGGTAACTCCCTGGAGTACAATCTCGCAGGAATATGATAAAAATCTAATAATACTCTTTAGAGGTGATGCAATGTGGCTGATAGAGAAGGTCAAGAAAAATCTCATTGGAGATGACCTTATTGTTTGGTGACTTGGCTTGACATTTTTAGCCCCAAATTGGTTTTTGTAATTAAAGAACACTGTGGCCTTAGTCTTCAAGAAATATTGGATGGAGAATCTAAAAGAAAGTGCTGTAATTCAATCTATCACCTGCCCAATTGAGACCCTGCTTGAGAGGGGGCACTTAGAACTTTCATTTTTAGTTAAGTGCACAAGTCCAACTAGATTATGGTATTTTATATTAGAGAAAAACATCAACAAAAATATGAAATCCTTGTAAATAACTCCAACCTTCCTAAAGTCTAAACTAATTTCAATGTAATATATATAAATTGTTAGACCACAAGATAGGTCAATTACTTTTAAGGAGGCATTTGTTTAATCTTAATAGACTTTGCAAATAAAAGAAGGGAAGGTAGAGAAATACCAAACAAAATACACTCTAGGACATCAGTCTTCTAATGGTCTTTCTCATTATTTGATAACATGCTAACAAAGGGACAAGAAGAACAATAATAACACTGGGATGTAAGAGCTCATGTGTGCTGCCACTTAGAAAAACAAGGATGCTGCAGCAAGATCAGAGCAAAAGAGCAATGTTCTTCGGTACATTAAAAAAAGGGAGAGAGGAGTTCTATGGACTGAATTTTTGTGCCCCTCCCAAAGTCACATGTGGTAACCCTAATCCTCAGCATGATGGTATTTGGAGATGGGGCCTCAGGAAGGTAATTATGTTATAAGAATTGAGTGCTTATGGAGTTAGTCCCTTTATAAGAAGAGATTCAAGGGGCACCTGGGTGGCTCAGTGAGTTAAGGATTTGACTTTGGCTCAGGTCATGATCTCAGGGTCCTAGGATTGAGACTCTCTTGGGCTCCCCACTTAGCAGGGATTGCTTTCCCCCTCTGCCCTCCCCCCGCCCCCCGTTTATGTGTAGGCGTGCTCTCTTGTTTTCTCTCCTCTCTCTCTCAATTATTAACAAAAAAAAATAGAAGAGACCCAAGAGAGCTTGCTTCTCTTTCTCTTTCTGCCATGTGAGGATGTAATCCGAAGGTAGTCTTCTGCAAATCAGAAACCATGCCCTCACCAGACACCTGGATCTGCTGGTACCTTGATCTTACACCTCCCAACTTCCAGAAATGCGAGAAATAAATGTTTGTTGTTTAAGCCACCCAGTCTATGGTATTTCTGTTATAGCATCCTGAACTAAGACAAGGAATGACATAGTTTCTATCTGTATCAACTATCTTTAAAAACACTGCCTCAAGTTGGTAATCATCATTTGTGTCTAGCATTGTGTGAGTGCGTGTGTTTGAGTGCATTTTATGATGTTTGCCTGAGGCAAGATAATTTTAGTTGTTTTATAAAATAAACTATTGGATCTGTGTTGCAAGGAAGGTAACTAGCAAAATTAAAAGCAAAACCCAAATGTCCTATGTACCCAGAAAGCTAGTGGTAAAAGCAGGGATGCAGAGTTTTAAGCACAACCATCTTTCAAAGCACTTACCACTGTAAAGTTCCTTCTTGCTTCATGTACATTTATTCCCATCCTCAGGACACTAACTGAATGCAAGTTTTTTCCAATAGCTGTTATTGTGCTCCCACCACTGGCAAAATAAAATAGAAAAACAGTAATATTGAGAGGTCCTTTCTCTACCAAGTATTTTAAGAAAGAAGTTAAATTACATCCCATGTAGTGACTGAAATTTACAGTCACAACCGAAGTCACATGGAAGTTCTGTGGTAACTATTTTTTTGGAAACAAAGTTATTGAACTTGAAAATATATTTTAAAATTTCTATTTTATAAGTTGAAGAAATGTGTTTTTCTTTTACTCACAAAATATACAAAAGAAATATTTTTTCTCTTTTAAAAATAAATCCAAATGAAATGAACTTAATTATTGTTAGACAGAATTGTGGAAACAAGGCAGACTGAACTGGGCCCAAAGAAATACTTATTCAAAGGGAGTCTGGTATAGGGGAAAGTTGCGTCCAAAGTAGGCAGAGCAAAAATACACTGAAGAATGGAGGGAAAAAAGGTAACTCCTCTTTTGGGCACTAAAGTTAGTACAGACTTGATATGTACATAATTTAAGTGTATAAATACTAAGGTGTCACATTAAACTGTTGCACTGAAATCCATTTAACATGTAATAGAGTAGGATAAAATGTTTCTTGGCATGAACCTAGCAATGATAAAGTCAAATTGGACTCAGAACCTGAATGTAGTTTTCACTCCTGAATTAGAAAGGTGGCCTTTAAAAGAAATGCAACAGCATCAAAGTTAGAGATAAAACTGCAATTCCTCTTGACTATTTGACAGACAAATCATTCTTATGTTCATTATTTTCTTATAGTCATCAGAAGCTTTTACTTACCTAATAAAAGATTTGGTTGGATGAATTGCATAGACAATGGGGTCTTCTTGGTAACTGAAGCTGTTCATCTCTCGGTTGGCTAAGTCAATTTTCAATTTAATAGGAAACTCAGTTGGAGTGGTTTGAGCTGGGGTATAACATTCGAGAATACTATCTGACACACTGAACAAAAAAATTAAGAAAATTGACCTTAGCTATTAGATGCACATATTTTAGAATTATATGCATAAATCAAAAGTGTATTACTCATTGGCTCCTAAATGAGAAATTCCAGATGTGTTTAGAAAAAAGTTCTTTTTTTTTTCTTTAAAGATTTTATTTATTTATTTGACAGAGAGAGAGATCATAAGTAGGCAGAGCAGCAGGCACAGAGAGAGGGGGAAGCAGGCTCCCTTTGAGCAGAGAGCCTGATGCGATATGGGGCTGGATCCCAGCACCCTGAGATCATGACCTGAGTGGAATCATGACCTAAGCGGAATTATGACCTGAGCCGAAGGCAGAGGCTTAACCCACTGAGCCAAACAAGGGCCCCCCAAAAAGCTCTTTCTAATGTAGCCTATTTACATTTGACTGGATCCCAAACTGAGCCTTATTGTAGACAAGCCATCTATGATTTCAAAACATTTGGGATTTTAAGCAATTTTTAAAGTATCTTTTTGATATTTGATTAAACTGAGTTCTTTCATCTCTAAGAATCAGAAACCTAACTTCCCTCTAGACCCAATCTCCTTTATGTTTCTCACGTCCCCGAAGTGATTTAGCCAAATTGTAAATCTTGATGGAAATATTTAATTTATTGTCAATTATCAGAGTCTCATAGCTCATAGCATAGCCAGGATACTAAGACATAAAACTAGAGAAGGTAGATGCGAAGATGAACTTAAAAAGTGGAATTAATCAACACAAGGGAAGGGTAGAAAGATCAGCAAAAAGGTAGATGGATATGGGAAGGAGGAAGTTTTGTCAGTAGGGGAGTAAATAATATACATCTTGATTTTCCTCCACACACACACAAAAAGAACAATCTTTTCTTGATTTGTTAGGTATAGATACTAATCCTATTTGATTGATGCAACAAAAAATAATTTACAACACCTTTTTAAAGTACATGTTTTTCCACCAATTGAAATGTGTCTAGAATTCCCACTGTTCAGGTACTTTCCATTTAAAGTTAGCAAGGTGCCACCAGTCTTAGGACCGTAACTTGGAGAAATACTTGTTATTATAGGATCCTGCAAAGGAAATAAAAACAAAACAAAGTAACTTGTTAATTTTATGACTCTAAATAGATTAAGTAACAAATATCCTATGTTCTCAAAAATTAGTGCTTCGACTTACCACATAGGAAAATTTACTGTATTGTGCTGTCCCTCGACCATTTGCAATAATTATGGATATATTGAAATGCTCATTTACTGCAGGACCAACTGTGCATTTCAGCCTGAAAAAAACCCCAAAGTTTAATATGTTGCAAATCCAAAGGCATTTTCTGGTTTGGCTGTTTTATGTGAAGGAACATTAACTATAAATTGTGAGCTGGCTAATCCGAATAGTAAACAGAGTTTTGTGGTAAGCATTAGGGCTGAATATCATATATTTCCATTTCTGGACTACTGCACTTCACATAGACAACACAGGAACTGTTAAACCTCATCAATATAGACTTTGCCAGTAGAAAAATTCATAATAATCTAAGTTGAAACCTCTAAAATTATAGGTTAATGTTTGGCATACTTAAGATAAAGAAATATTTCAACACCATATGAAACAATGGGCTAATATAAATAAACCAAATCTCTTCATTAAAGTATGTCAACAGGTACATTTCTGTGGTTACACAGAAAAATAGTGAAGTTGTGACAGACTTTCCACAGAATTATTTTTGAATTAATAATCTTACAGTCCTGAGAGTGTATAAATGTGATTTGTTTTATTAAGCAAATTTTTAAAGAAGAGAATGAATTATGTCTTACTTTTACAGGTTCTAACATATAAAATTAGGAATAACGACTCACAAGGAAGATTTCTAGAAAGAATTTGTTTGCCCGTTAGCCTAAACAAGGACAACATTAATTGATGTTTTGGTCTCGGTAAATGAGTACATTTAGACCTCTGTGTGATCCTGGAAGGAATTCTACAAGGCATAAAATAAACACTTGATAGAAGAGGTTCAACCATAAAGCTTGAAATGTTTGGCTGTTATTACTACTACCTGATAACTAAAAATTTCCAGATCCTCCGTTCAGTATGGGATTTACATTTGATAGAAGGCGAATGGAGAAAATGGTGAAACAAGCACACCTCTTGAATCAGGAGAGCTGAGTCTGAAGGCCTGTTAAATTCTCGCTCTCTGGATTGCCTCTACTAAACTACACTCTACCTCTTTTTTTTTCTTTTTAAAGATTTATTGATTTATTTGTCAGAGTGAGAGAGCACAAGCAGGGGGAGTGGCAAGCAGAGGGAGAAGTAGGCTCCCTCCTGAGCAAGGTCCCTGATGTGGGGCTCATTCCCAGAACTCGTGGGATCGTGACCTGAGCGAAAGGTAGATAGATGCTCAACAGGCTGAACCACCCAGGCGCCCTGCATTCCACCTTTCTGAACTTCAGACAATACCTTTGTAAAATCCGTATGGTATTGCTATCTTCTGGGATGAATGGCTAAATGAAATACTCTCCTTACATTACAATACCAATAAATATCAGCTGAATGTAAATTTAGGTGCATCAAAAAAAGAAAGAAAGAAGTCTCAAAAATGTGACTGAGCTGCTTTACTACATTTCTGAGGTTTAGAAAGTAAATTTAGAAGAGAGGGTCTTTATTGAGCTCTTTTACTGATTTTTATAGAAAAAGCCATTGTAGATTCTATATTTGAAGACTTTAAAGATGGAGCAGCTTCGCCCAGTACTGTTCTTTCAAATCTACCCAAACAATTTCTAAAGAAATGTTACAAAAATGGTTGAAAAATTCCCCGATGCTGCACTCTTCTTCTCTTTACCTAGCTAATGTCACCTTTCTCCTTTTTTAATCCCGGTAAGTAAACAGGGTTAAGAACAAAAACAGTTCAGCAAGCGAAGTTAGAGGGCCAAGACTCTTTCTGATTCAAGATGTGGACTTGTGGGACAGTCTTTACAAGCATTCATTCTAAGATACAACCTGTTTTTTCCAACCACACCCCAGAAAAACATTTTTAGATCCTTACATATTTGTTGTGCTCTCACTTAAGGTCAAGGTGCAGCTCTCATTTCCAAGGAGAACTTTGGTTTTCTTTAAATCAAATTTATTATTCCTCCTGAATCCGAAGTCCCAGCCACATATGGTCAGCATTGTCCCTCCTTCCAAGGGTGCGCTAGTTGGGAAAACCTACAAGGACAACCGAGAACTTTAAAAAAAACTCAAGACATTATTTTTTGTTTGTGTGCAAAACAAACACAACATGTATTCTCACTGAAATTTTTCTATTCTGCCACTGTCTTTTTTTTTTTTTTTTTTTTTTAAGATTTTATTTATTTGTCAGAGCAGAAGCACAGAGAGCAGCAGGCAGAACAGGCAGAAGGAGAAGCAGGCTTCCCGCCGAGCAAGGAGCCAGATGTGGGACTCTGGGATCATGACCTGAGCCGAAGGCAGATGCTTAACCAACTGAGCCACCCAGACAACCCTATGCAACTGTCTTAAAAAGTGGAATTTTCACTGCAGGAAAAAGGGTCACAAATTTCACAGATGCTGGAACAAATATTAAAAGTATCTAAGATGTGCTGATGAAATAAGTTGTTTTCAGGAGATTCACAGATGGGACAGAGAGCAGATTCAACCAGGGTGGAAATGAAGGGCCTTCTTGGGCCACTCTGAAGTGAATTCAGCTGGTAATCTTCTAGGGTGGAGTAGACAGTTTGAGCCCAGACTTGTACATTCTTGTAACTCTCATTATAACTCTTTCATGGGCCTCCAGTTCAAACTCTGATCAAAAATCTTTCAAGGGCCCTAAAAGTTAAGCACCAATATATGTCTCTTTCTGTGCATGAGCTGGATGTTTGCTACAATCTTGTGCTACGGTATTCCCCAACGAGAGAAGTAAAAATACCTCTTGGTATCCAGTATTTTCACAGTTGCTTCAGCAGCTATCATAATACCGGACACATAGATGGTATTCAATATATATCTACCATTCCCTCATTCATTATAAATCATCTACTACATGCCAAGCACTAACAAATGAATAAATGAATCTATTTCTTTGTACTTGTTAATTCATATTTATTACCGATCTGGGATTTCCTTTCTTTCTTTAAATGTGGTCACTGTTTGATATATACCAGCTGGTTAGCTGACACACCCAGCTTTTAAAAAATTACATAATTTTAAATAAATACATATAATATGTAATTTCTATTAGAAATAGATAATAAAAAAAACGAGAAAGAGCCCCAAATATGATCTGTATTGTAGCAATGTTTCTAATTATCTCTCTTGGCATTATTTTACATCTCATTTCTAGGGCTGATTTTTTTATCCCCCATGTTCAATGTTAAATAAACAGGTTCATTTTTCTATTGCAGGCTTACTTTTGGTGTGTTGAAAGTAAAATGTGAGCTCATTAATAAAATTTTGGCAACTGTGACATAAGATAGCAGTAGGTTCTTATGAAGTCTATAAGACAACTCTCCTTAGGCTAAAACTATTAAAACAAAACAAATTTCCAAGTTAAAAATAAGCTTCTCTTCAGCAGCTTTGTCACAATTGAGAAAGGAAATGCTCTTTGGGGGGGGGCATATTGTAAATTGTGCTGTAAAGTACAATGGTGGGAAAACAAAGCATCACCATAGAGGCAACTCAAAAACCAATAAAGGTGTTTGCTAAAGGCCAGTTAGTAAAAGTCCAAAAGTGATTCTTTTACAATTTAAAAGGGCTTTTAGCAAAATTCAAATTTGCAAACGTTTTCACTCATCCCAAGTAAACAAATGCAAATCGAAGTTTTAATTTACCCTTGCTACAAAATCCCTTTAAAGTCTTGGTTTAATGCTTTTATGATAGCTATTTTATGCATAAAATCCATTACACACTTGTGCTGTCCATGAAAACTTACCTTGTCCATGTCTAGGCAAAGGAGAACTGGTCGAGGAAATAAATGCCTGTTTATTACTATGTTAGAAGTCCAGGAGAGAGAGAGGCATCTAACCCTCCTGACTCTCTTCAGCCTGAGGCAGCCACACAGGAGATTCCCCCATAGAAAACAGTTGCCTAAGGCTGATGTTGGCCTGCTTCTGACGCTTAGATCCCCCCTTTCTATGTAAAAATTGAAGTCTGTCACTCTACAGACATCATCACTTTCTACACAAGGCAAATGGATTGGGTGATGATTTGAGAAAAGACACCGAGAGTTGTTCCATTGGTGTGCAGGCAGCAGAAATAGAGATTATAAAACCTTTGCTAGTCGGTTGGTCAGGATTCAAAAGTTCAGCTCAACTTAGCTTTCCTCCCTGGGCTGAGATATTAGAGGAGGGCATTGGAACATTTCCCCCTTAGCTTATGGGGTAATGTTCACTCTTCCAGGGGAAAAGGAAGGAAGCGGTTTTGGACAACACACCCTCGGATAAACCAACAATGAGCTGGCAAACTCTGAGTTATCCTGAGGGGAGGGAAACTTTGTGGGAAGGAAATGAGTGTCCGGTATAAAGCCACAGAAGCCAGGTCTCCCACCTGTCTGGATAGGGGAGAAACAGCTACCAAAGCAACTAGCACCCTTTCACAGGTGAAAATGATTTAAACGATCACATTTTCAAAACCCACCAAGATAATACATGAGAATGCTAAAACAACAATAAACCCTCCCTGGAAAATTAGAATTGGCCTCTTAAGTAGTTAAAAAAGTTATAAATATATTGGTGGTTGGCTGAATAACACCCTAACCCCACTCCGCCCCATAAAATACCACTGTTGCTTCTTATCTGAGTCTTCCAATCAATTAATAAATCATTTTATTGTCTCACTGGGACTGAATTCAATCCTACAAGATATGACAATTTTATCTTAATAAATTCAGAACGCATTGGAAAGTGCTCTTCCTTTTCTGAAGCATTTCTCATTGCTCTTTAAGTATGAGATCAGATAACATGTTTGAAACAAAATAATGGGCTTGCAATCCTGAAATCTCTCTTATGTGGAATTGCAAAGAATTTCAGCCACTGAACATCATGTACCTTGCAAAGTAGGTTAATTCACATTTACTGGAAAGTGAAACTATACACTAGTTGGGTTTTGTGCCTATAGTGTTTAAGACAGATAAGAAATAGATGAATAATCTTATTTTTTTGCAGTAAGAATGCTAAATGTTACGGTCTAGTGCAGCATGAAATCTTCCTAACAACTATGAACCGAAAGGGATTTATGGACTCAGCTGCACTACTTTCCTCCTAGCTGTACAGCCCAAGCCTCACTGACTAGTGCACAATGCAATGCAACCTTTTAAAATCACCAACTACAGAAAGTTAGGAAAGGTGAGAACAGAGGGAGATTTAATACTGTGAGAGATTCTCTGGTTCCAGAAAATCCTAAAATATTTGGTTGTCTTTCAAAAACCATTTTAATATGGCTTCCATAAATAATAGAAGGAAGTATATTGGTCAAATTAAATTGTTCCATTTGTGCAGGCTCTAAACCTTCCCTGTATTTAAAACACAAGTTTAGCTATTTTTGAAATAAAATTGTTGTGATTCAATTGAATGTATAACACCCCCCCACACACACACACACATACACACATGTACTCTCCCCATATCTCTTTCACGGAATTTCTGAGTTCAGATTTCTAGTGTCTCAAATTGCCAAGGCTGTGTTTAAAAAAGTATGAAATTGCACATGGTTTTAAAAATATACTAAACCAAAAAAAGTGTGCATACTACCACAGTATAGATTTAAGTTTGTTTTCTTACTATCTTCCGATCAAGCTAAATCTTAACCACTGTGTTTCACCTAACAGAAAATGATTTGTTTAAAACCCAGTCACCCTGCACAAATCTTGCCCCAAACCGTAACTAAATGAAAACAGCCATGCGCTTGGGGGGCGGTTCTTGTTCTGACTTGCACACTTTGTTTACTTGGGCTTGAACCAGGCGACTGAGACCTTTAATTTGAGTCTTTCACAAGAATCATTACTATACGTGAGCAGGGAAGGTACATACTGGGTCCTCACAGGGAATTATTTTCAAGCAAAAATGCATTTGGATCGAGACATTTAAAAAAATTGCCATGGGAGATTTTCATAGTACCAGCTATCTGCTTAAACGAGTAAGGCAGCAGAGAGTTGGAAAGCACGGCCACAATGCCATGACTGAGTTCACTGCTAGAAGCTGAGGTCTCCAATAGGAGGAGGTACTTTTTTCTTGTTCAGACCACACTTCCTTAATGTCTAGAAGAGTGCAGCTATATGGTATGCAGTTAATAAATATTTTTGGAATGAATTAAAGAATGAAGTGGCTCACAGAGTATAGATGTTAGCATTAGTCATCAGTTGCATCTATACTGTTCTTCCAGGAACTCTGAGAGAAGGCACATAGCCACCCATGGGTGTTCACTGTCCACCTGCCTTCTACACTGGCCTGTGAAGTAACCTCTAGCCTTATGTGTGATGAGACAAGGTCACCATCCATACATCAGACAGGAAGAAATCTTCTGCCCTTGCTGCCACAGCATGGCATCTCTAGCTTGCATGGTTCAGCTTAAGAGTCTGGGTTGTGCCATAAGCAGATCTCTGTGTGTGGTTGAGGGTCATGTTTGGGCACCTGGTAGATTAAGTGGGTGGTGAGCAAACACTGAGTCAGATTTGGTCAGGAGGGAAAATGTCCCAGGGTGAGGAAATGGGAAGCAAAGTTGCTCAACATCCACCACTTTTTTATTCACAAAGCACTAAGGGAGAGCAACTGGCTCAAGGAGAGAACTACTTAGTGAGTATAAAGCACGTATTTCAGGTACAGGACTCAGGTATGTATATTTCCCAGAAGGAAAACCTTGGAGAAGGATGGTGCTTTTGCTGATGTCTCACAGCTAAATGAATAAACTGAATTTAGAATTTTTTTGTTAATGGGATTTATGTTTACCAAAAAACATACATGACGGCTGACAGATTCCTACCTCATAGATTGTAGGCAGACAGATCTCCTGAGTCCATGTTCCAGTGGGGCATTCCTCCAACTGCACACATTTATCATGGCACCAGCCACACTGCACAAAGGGAGGCGCGGAGAGACACTGACTGCAGGACTGGAAGTGATCACAGCCTAAGCCATTCAGTGGGATCTTGGTGATCTGTGAAGAAAAGTGATGGAAAGAGCTTCCAGAGGGTTTTTTTGTTTGTTTATTCAATGAAAACTAAATACACCAAAGATACATGTAAATATAATTGTATGGAGTCTACTAGGGATAGTACCTATGTGTGAAAATCTTGTAATAATGATTAAGTGCTTTAAACAAAAACCCAAATTCCTTTTTTTCCTCTGTTGTTGGTGCATATGTGATAATCACCACCATTACTGTCCAGGGAACACAAGGACTGTCATGCTTTGTTAGAGGTTTTATTTAGTAGGGACATTTTGCTCTGTCTGAGACAATTTTAAAATAACAAGAGAGTATAATTTAAGCGGCTGGAAAACACACCTGAACCCCTGGGAAATTCTAAGTAAGTTTACATATCATTCGGCATCAAGATGCACCTCCTTCTCTCAGGGAAGAGGGATTACCGGTTGGTGTCAGATTCCAATGTACATTTCAGGACTTATCTACTTGCACTAGAGTTCTGCCCTTAGGACCATAATTCTCATTCTGTGTGTTTTTCTCATTGAGAAATACAGGACAAAAGGAGAAATACGCATTTGAAGAGCACCTCCCTTTGGTCCAATCTTTCTGAATAAAAATTTAACTTGGTTTCAGAACATCTCTGGAATACTCAAGACATAATCAGAGGGAGAAGAGGTGAATCCAAGACCAAGAGAGAAGTGAAAAAGGACCATATAAAGCACACTGTAAATATCCACTCAGGAAAAACCTTCCTGTGGAAATAGGGCTTACCTTCTTCCCAGTGACAACCAGTGTGTAGCCATTTTGGTTTAATGGGTGCTCCACAATGGCTTCAGGAGACACAGGGTGGGAATCTAGGCGAAAATTCACATGAGGGGTTGATGATCCTGATCGAGAAACCACAACCTGAGAGACAAAACATAAATGACTTCAGTCCAACAAGCTCAGTTTAAACATAGTGGAAAACGTGGATGATAATGCTAATAACAGATTAGGAGAGCTCATGGGTATTTGAACTAAAGGCCCAGTAGTTGATCTCATTGTAAATCAATACGACATCTCCTAATCTCCTGTCTTGAAGACAGTTCATCTGAACCCCCAAGGCAGACTTTTGTATATGATCTTTTAATTGTGTATAAGGAAGGAGATCTTTCAGTCAATCAGCCAGTACATACAGACAAATCCTCACAATTTCATTGGGAACTGGAGGAGCCAAAGCTCTCCCCAGAACAGAAGACTTCACTTATGTTACAAGGATTTCAGATAACTTTTTAAAAATTTATTCTCCCTCCCTGCCCCAATGGGCAGCTTTCCTTGACGTAATGGAACAGAGAGTGGATGGGGAGTCTGGAGGATCTGGATTTAGTTCCAGCTTTGCTACTCTTAAGCCATATTTATGGATCTTCTGAGGTCAAAATAGGCCTTCAGGTACTTTAAAATAATGTGCTGTTGTTTTTATAAACCATGTCTAATCAGATGTTATTTCTTGGATTATGAAGTTCTGCTTCTTGACTTGGTTTTATAATAAGGTCTGATGGTTTTAACAATGCTTTGGAAAGAAGATTTGATGACTTGTGTCATTCTTGCTTTCAGGTATTTCTAATTTGGGATGTTTCTCAGCTATATAATTTACATCTTCTCTAACTGCTAGAACCCAGTAATAATGAAGTCCAGGGATAAAATCAGAATGACTGGGGTGCCTGGGTGGCTCAGTTGGTTAAGTGTCTGTCTTTGGCTCAGGTCATGATCTCAGGGTCCAGGGATCAAGCCCTGCTCTTCATGGAGTCTGCTTCTCCCTATCCCTCTGCCTGTCCCCCCGACACCCCCACTCCCTCTCTCTCAAATAAATAAATCTTTTTAAAATTTTTTAAAAAGTCAGAATGACTATCAGAGATGAACACTAAGACCTTAGGAGAGTTTAGGAGGGCTCGGAAAGCATTTTATTCTTAAATAGGCAATAGGTTTATATCTATATGAGGTGCAGGAGGCTGAGTAAAGCCTTGGGCTTGAAACTGCCTTTGTGCAACATTCCAAATACTCTTTTATGTTTCATTGAAAGTATACTTATTTGCCATGGGTATGAAATCATGGGACAAACATGGGAATCTGTGAGATGATGATTAAATAACCATTCCCTCCACCTTAGCCTTTTCATTTGTAAAATAGGAATCACAATTACGGGTGTAATTAAATGGTTAATACTCTAACAAACTTACACACAACATATAAATGTTTTGGGGAACTAGTTGCAAATTTTTACTTCAGCACAAAGAGTCTAGATGCTTGAAACAATTTGGGAAGATTCCCAAAGTATCTAATTTGCTCCCAGACAGTGGGTTGTTGATAGAGAAATGAACATACATCCATAAAAGCTAAACATCATGACATTTTGTTCTAACACTTGTTCTATCCCAAACACTCAGCACTTTCAAAACATCTCCATTAAGCAGGGTGGCTTATATTTGCACAGAAGTTAAATGATGCATCAAAGGTCATTTGGTCAGGATGAGAAAGGATGGAAACTGTTGTTATTCCTAAATGTAGGGCCAAATAGTTATCTCTGACTTTTGTAGCCAAAGCAAAAAGAAGTTCAATTACCAGTCCTACCTCCTCGCTGGGTGCAGGTTACAAGTAGAGTATCAAGATATCAGACTTTTAATACCTCTATCCCAAATTATCCAGATTTCAGTTACTCAGTTTTTTAGTTTTGACTCACTTCTGGTGCTCACCACTTGTTTTTCCTATCTGCCCACCCCCATTTTTTTTTTCCCTATTTCCCTGATTGTTGCCAATCACTTCCAACTACAAAGGTGAAAAAAAAAATCTGTTCCTCTCACACACGAATCAAAACCAAAATCAAACCCAGCCTCTCTTAATAACTGGACTCTGTTCTATGCCTTATTCTGTAGTTTTCACTTACTGAAGATTATTCATCCCTCTGAACCTTCCTATGAACATTTGCATTTTGCCTCTCTCTTGTAGCTTCCATTTTATTCAGACCTGCTACATAACAATCAACTCCTAGCACTCTCCTTTTTCTCCTTTTTGTTCTCTTTAATATCATTTCCCATATTTATAATAAGCAATCCCTTCCTAATTACTAGGTCATCTTCTTTGACTTTATCAGATATCTGAAGCCCATTCAAATGTTCATTGCCCAGAAAGGATTAACCTTTGTCTTTCTTTTCATAAAGAATCTCTGGAACTTGGGTAGATTGATTTAACGTATTCCCTGTTGAGACTTTTTGTCTGGAGAGCACCATTCATGGGGTGACTGAGCCAGTCATTGTGCTAAGAGCTTTAAATGTTTATTTGTTTACTTCTCACAATAATCCTACAACGTAGGTACTATTAGTTTTTCCATAAAGAAAATATAACAGAAAATTGCAGCTAGAAAGTATAAGAGTCAGGTTTACAAGGAGCTTTATCTAATGCCAGAATCCGATTTGCTTGACCTCTTAAAAACACTCAAACTGCTACACTCTTAGAGCACCAGAGTAAATACCAATAAAAAGCTTCAACTCCGAGCTCTCAAGAGTCATTCGTGAGTCAAAGCATTAAAACAAATTTCACAATATATTTGCCTTGCCAAATACTCCTTGTTTCAGTAATCTTGGCTGCAAGTGTGCCTAAGGAGAGAGACTCCACATCTAAATAGTTTTTGATGGCACAGAGGAAATGTTACTACTAGAGCCAGTGAGTTCTACTTTTGATCACCAGCTAGGATGAGTGTGGCTTCAAGCAGAAAATGGGATGAACCAGAGAAGACAGGAAGGCTGTAGGGAAAAGTGAAATACCTGGAGTTTTAAGCAGAGGCCATATCTCAGATGGAGATACCTTTGTGTTGATCATTAGCCCTTTCTCTGCAGGGACACCTACTGCTATAAAATGCCAAGAATGCTTTTCTATCATTAAATCCTCCCTTTATCTTATTGCTAGAATTCCAAATAATGGAGTAACCACTTTAACCTCAAAATATCCCTGTAGCAAGTTTTCTTTTTTTTTAATTTTTTTGTAAAGAAATTTGAAGTTCCTTTTGGTTGTCATGGAGATACTTCTAAGGACAGAACTGAATCTAGCATTTAAATTTAATTCTTAGGATAATTAGTATGAATAGAAGACTGGCAATTATCTTTGACTATGTTGAGAACTAATCTTTAATGCTTAGGTCTCAAACTGTTCCCCCTCCCCAAGCCCTTTTTCTTTAACGCTCCTGAAAATGCAACACTAATATATTTGGGTGTGAGGGAGTTAGGGAGGAATCCAAAGGTACTTGATTGTTGTAGCTATGATCTCAAATTATCTGGGAAAGGACATGAGGAAGAAATACATGTACAAGTAAAATAAAACCTTTGTGTCTAGGCTCTAAAAATCCATAAACCTAAACAAATTAATTTTGTGTGATATATCTTCAAAACATTAAGGCCAGATTCTTAGCCCATACACAGATTTACTTTTCAAATTCTTATTTATTTTATAGATTTTATTATTTATTTGTCAGAGAGAGAGAGAGGATAAGAGTGAATGAGTGAGTGTGCACAAGCAGGGGGAACAGCAGGCAGAGGGAGAAGTAAGTTCCTCATGAGCAAAAAAAGCCCAAGTCAGGACACAATTCCAGGACCCTGGAATCATGACCTGAGGTGAAGGCAGACACTTAACTGACTGAGCCACCCTGGCATCCCGAGATTTATTTTTGGTTAAATTGTTTTAAAATTTAATTTTCCTTAAGAATGATGAACACAGTTTAACATGAGATATTTGTATGTGGCTTTCTCTCCATTTTTTGTTTTGTTTTGTTTTGTTTTGTTTTTTAAGTGCTCCATGCTGGGCCAGAATTCACCCTGAGATCAAGACCCGAGCCAATCAAGGGTCAGATACTTAACCGACTGAGCCAGTTAGGTGCCCTACTCTCCATTTTTAAAAAATGCACAATTCAGTGGTTTTTGATATTGTCACAGATTTGTGCTACCATCACCAAAATCATTTTGGAACACTGTCATTATCTCAAACAGAAACTCAGCACCCTGTAGCCACCACCTTCTTCATCTGCTCATGCCCTCCAGTCCCTTGCAACCACTAATCTACATTCTATCTCTATGGATTTTCCTATTCCAGACATTTTACACGAATGGAATCCTACAATATCTTGTCTTTTGTGACTGGCTTCTTTCACTTAGCATAATGTTTTCAAGGTTCATCATGTTGGAACATGTATCAGTACTTCACTACTTTTTACTGCTGAATAATGTTCCATTATATGGACATAACATATTTTATTTATCCATTCATCAGTTGACAGACATTTGGGTTATTTCCACTATTGTGAATACTGCTACATTGAAATTCACATGCAACTTTTTATGAGAACATATATATTTTCATTTCTCGGGTGTACACCTAGGAGTAGAATTATTGGATCTTGTGGTAACTCTATACTTAATCTTTTGAGGAACTGCCATGCCATTTTCCATAGGTGTGTACAATCCTACATTCCCACCAACAATGTGTGAGGGTTTTAATTTCTCCACAACTTCACTGACGTGTTATTTTCCGTTTTCTTGATTACAGCCAACCCACTGTGTGTGAAGTGATACTTTATTGTGATTTTGGTTTGTATTTCTTCGTCAAATTTTTTTTAAAAAGATTTTATTTATTTATTTGAGAGAGAGAGGGAATGAGAGAGAGTGAGCATGAGAGGGGTAAGGAAGGTCAGAAGTAGAAGCAGATCCCCTGCTGAGCAGGGAGCCCAATGTGGGACTCAATTCTGGGACTCTAGGATCATGACCTGAGCTGAAGGCAGTCACTCAACCAACTGAGCCACTCAGGTGCCTCTTGCCAATATTTTCTTAAATTAAGAAAAAGGCAAGCTTACTTCTGGAGGTTCACAGTCTTCCATCCATTCCTTC